CAGTAGGGCCAAGTGGAACCCAAGAGGGGATCCAACATGATCCTCTACGAATTGCCTTTCTGAGATATCGGTGTGAAGATCTGCTTCAGGGGGATTCGAACTGCCGATACCGGCTGTTACCCTTCTGGGCCACACACGCTACCCACTTTTTTTTTTTTTTTTTTGAAAACATCAATATATTTCATTAACAATAATATAAAAATAATAAATAAAATAAATACATATTGTAAGCTCAGGTACTTCATTTCTTCTTGTTACTATCTTGATGTTTGAACATAATTGAGAAACGGTTAAAAAACTTGAAGTGCTCGGTAAAGACTAGACCATTGCAATACATCGGACGGAGCGGAGCACTAGTCCTGAAGAGCCGCTCTGCCCCCACCACTGACACGAGCGTCGACGAAACCTCGGGCCAATCAGCGGAGCGACTCGTCCCCACCAGCGGCACGAAGCGACGCGCACGACGGAGCAACAGTGCGGACAGGGTAGCCAACCCAGTGAAAACAATAGCCATTCATGCGGATCAATCGCACTCGATATGAACGCACCGAGGCAATGCGTGCTGGAATGCATAACACGCGGGCCGTTGCCCGGTCAAGCCTTATGGTCAGTCGGCACTTGACAGCCAAGAGACGCAGACATGGCGCTTGCTTGGTTAAGTCGGCAGCCATGGTACAACAAGGTAGGTTTACGCCAGACCGCGTCTTGTCGTAACAGGCTTCGCGATGTCTCGCTGCCTGTTCCTCCAATCCACGCCTGGCGTACCTACCTTGGCCTGCGGCGCTAGCCTGCCTGCGGCAGGCAATGGCTTGTCCGTTGTCGGTTATTTTTTAACTTGTTGAATGCTGGGGGGCTCCCCCCTACATTTTAAATAGAGTTGTTTTATCTACAGATAACACGATCGTGACCCTTGTCACTTTTTAACTTGTCGGGGCTGGGGGGCTCCGCCCCGCAGACCCCCCTTTCTCCAAGACAGATGTGGTCTATCTGCAGAAAGCTCTATTTTTCGCCGTTTTTTAGGTGTTTTTCGGCAATAAAAACCGAACCAGTTGAGCTAGGATAGTGAAATTTCGCGTGTGCCGAGCCAAGGACATACCCAAGAAGTGTGCAAAATCTCACCGAGATCGGCCGAGCCGTTCAGGAGGAGTAGTGCGGACAGACACACACACAGACAGACAGACAGACAGGAAAAACTTTTCAACCGCACCCGAGTAACAGGCTTTGCTATCGCTCAGCCAACAAATTCAAGCAGGCAGCTGTCAAACAGCCAGTGATTGTTTACATTGAAGGAAACATAGGAGTTGGCAAGTCAACGTTACTGAAGAAATTGGAAGAAAAAGGATACCTTGTAGTGCAAGAACCAGTTTCCCAGTGGACAAACTATCATGGGATTAATTTCCTGGAATTGTACTCTCAAGATATGCAAAAGTGGGCGTTTACCTTTCAATCAATGGTGCTCAGTACATTGTGGCAGACTCAATTAGAAGCTATACAACAAGAAAATCCTGTCATCATCGCAGAGCGATCTCTACATAGTGTGGTCAAGATGTTCGCTAAAACGCAGAAAGACGCTGGATTTATGAACGAAGAGCAGTATGTATTGCTTGACAACACAGCCAAGACTATGGTATCTCAGTACAAGAGAAAGGAATACTTCATATATCTTCGAGGCAGTGCCACGACAGCCTACCAAAGGATCCAACAAAGGGCAAGGGATGAAGAGAACACACTGTCCAAGGATTACATCCAACAGCTTCATCTGATTCTGGACAACTGGATGGAGAACGAACCAGGACTTCATGCAGTTGTGGATGCCACAGGATCTCCAGAGACTGTGCAACAACAAGTTATTGAGGCCTTGGGACAATTACCAAGTTAAGTGTGGTAAAACATTGGTGTTAATTTAGTCTTCTTAGATCAAAACTGGTGTTTTAGATAGGATTTAGCTAGCTAGTCAGGATTTGCAACACCAAGGCATCATCCCCAACTGTTAGTTAGAGGGGATTAGGTTACAAAATTCTGTGCGCAGTGTTATGTGTGTTACAGGAGAGTCTACGAGAACTCTTCTAGAACTGTCTTCTAGAGTCAACAAGACCAACACAGCAAGAATAATCCATTTCTGTAAAATTCCTTTATTTTAAAATGATCAGGCTAAATGGTTGCACCCCAGGATGGCGTCCCTAACTAGTTTTTGGACGTGCCATGGGAGTCGCTGTTGAACCACTCTTTAAGAGGATCATGAATTTTTGTTTGATCGTTGATGGCGTGTCAAGGAAGGACGGGACACCCTTACCTTGAGTCAGATGGGCCTATACGTGATATTGTTTTCAGCTCAACACTCAAGATGACGCAGAAAAATTTAATTGAATGTCAAAGTTTGGGCAACTTATAATTTTCTTTGAAAGAAGGAGTGGAGTGATAACTTTAAAAGGAGGAGAAGTGATAACTTTAAAAGGAGGAGAAGTGATAACTTTGAAGGAAAGGGAGCAATTTGAGAAAATTCTTTTAAAGGTGGGAGTGGGTAGAGATTTGACGGTTTAAAACAGAGCTAAACAAGTGTCAGGAGTCAGTTTTTTTATTCTTGTCTTCTTCCCCTCTCTGGCTTGCTTCCCTCACTCTTGACCAAGGCCCTACAATACTCCTCTTTCTGAACTCACCCACCAAGCAAGGTGTCACTGTTGCCCAGACTATAAATTGGATCGCGCCTCAGCGCCGGTCAACAGTCTGTAGCCTAGTCTCGGTCTGTGCGCACCTCCCTAATAAACCAGTGAATCCCAGTGAATCCCTACTCTCTCTCGTCACTTATCCGTTCCTCATCACTATTAGTGCCCTACACTACACATACAAGATCAATTACTTCAAGCCACTCAATGAAAAATCCATTGCGATAGCCCACCGAGGCAGTCATTCGGAATGGATATTTAATGGATATTTATTGGATTTAAAATTGGTGTAATTAAACCTATTTACAAGAAAGATTCCATTTTTGATATAGGGAACTACAGGCCAGTTACCCTCCTCTCAAGTATCTCTAAGATTCTTGAAAAGTTATTTGAAAAAAGACTGACGAGTTTTCTTAAGAAATTTAAAATCATTGCAAAAGAGCAACACGGTTTTCAAAAAGGGAGATCCACCCTAGGAGCGGTAGCCGACGTTCTAAATATGATAACAGTAGCATTTAAAAATAAACTAAAAGTAAATGGAATCTTTCTCGACCTTTCGAAGGCCTTTGATTGTGTAGATCATAGTACTCTAATAGTGAAACTGGAGACCAATGGAGTAAGGGGACCTGCCCTAAAATGGATTGAATCCTATCTTAGAGAAAGAAAACAATGTGTAAAAATTTATGCAAATGGCAGTCTAATAAGGTCTGGCTTTCTAGATGTGAAATTTGGAGTCCCTCAGGGTTCTATTCTAGGCCCTATATTGTTTCTTTTATATATCAATGATTTGGTTGAATTCATTGAATGTAAAACTCAAGGTAAATGTAAGACTGTACTGTATGCAGATGATTCAAATCTCATAATCATGGCAAAAAATTTCGAAGAACTAGAGATAATCTCTAACTCTATACTAGAAGATATTGTATAATTCCTCCGTAGTCTGAATCTTATTTGTAATATTTCAAAAACAAACTATATGTGCATTCAACTTAAAAAAGAGAGAAGGACTTCATTGATATTATCTGTGAAGAAAAGAGAATAGAGGAAGTGCATAGTATAAAATTCTTAGGTATGTTAATTGATGAACACCTGTCAGGTGCTGAACAAGTGGATTATACGGCAAAAAAATTGAGAAGCGGCATATATGTACTGAAACAGCTAGCACAGGTCGTAAGTAGGAAAACTCTACTAAAAGCGTACTATGCCTTTATCCTCTCCCACCTTAGTTGTAGTAGTATAATATGGGGCGGTTCAGGTGAAGCTAATGTACAAAAACTATTCGTTCTCCAAAAGACTGCAATTAGGGTCATACTTGGCCTGCGGTATCTTCCGGATCTCAAAAGAATGGAGTCATGTAGAGGTAAATTTAAGGATCTTAACCTGCTAACCGTCCCAGCCTTGTATATTTTCTGCTGTATTAATCTAATAATTGATAGATACTCAGAACTTAGACAGAATAACAAAAATAAATATAACCTGAGACGGCCCTATGACCTCGTTCTGGAGACCTATAATGGAAAATTTGCAGAAAAAAATCCAATTTATAGCGGAACTAGGTTCTTCAATCGATTGCCTTTGGATATTAAGAAACTGGTCACGGGAAATCCAAAAAAAAAAAAAAAAATTGATAAAAAAATACTTGATAGATAAAGAATTGTACTCCATTAAAGAGTTTCTTGCCTAATCCGGTGTAAGGTCTTTGTAGTGACTCTGTATAAATCGTTTCTGTCTAAACTGTATCTGTGACCACATCCCTTTAAGATGCAATAAAGATATTATTATATTTAGTTGGTGGCCAAGCTTAATTTCTGTTGAAGCAATGGATTTAGAATTTTTGAACGTACATAAAGTAAATATTTTGGATAATGGCAGTAGTATCATTGGGCAGAACTTGATCACAGCAACTTCCACCCATAACTTAACTTGCAAATCATGCCAAAGCCGGGTATTCTTTCGTTTGATCAGACATTAGGTGAAGTTAGAAGTGCTGTTGCACTTCAATGTCAAACGACCAGCATTTTCCTGTGGTATGTTGCGTTCCTTCCCTTTCTCAGATGCGTAATGTGTACCAATTTGTCTTCCAAATTTGATTTCAGCCTGGATGTGACTATTCCGCCTCTGAATTTGCTCCAAAGCTGGATCAAGCTGCAACTTCCACCCATAATTCAACTTGCAAAACATGCATCACTGACTGTACTGTTTTGGGATGCAATACTATGGTCAAAACTCGGGTCAAAAGAACGTGACATTTTATCCCATTTGATTCAACGTGATGTCACGTGTTTACTTCTCGAACGAGAGTGATAAACTTGCTGATAGTGTGCTTCGCTTAAGTCGTCAGTCCTTGACGTTAACCCTGCTGATGGCGACAGCAGTGTTGATGCACGTGAAAAGCTCCTTATTCTCGTCCATGAGGCTCACTTCTGCTGTCCACACGTTGCCGGCAATATTGATGTGTGACATAGCCTCTCCCAAGGACACGTCCACCGTTCCGTTTTGCAGGTGGTATATCCCCTGGAAGGCACAGGATCGAGGGGGTGATCACTGAGGTCCGAAACGTACAATGTTTTTTTGATTTTTGATTTTTTTTAATTATTTGATTTTATCAAATTGATTTTTTTCATCTCTATTTAGTACAATTGCCTAACTTTAAGGGGCTTTTGCAGTCGTAAGTGTGACAGACGAAGGGACGTGAGTTTTTGACTTACTATGAAACCAAATAATTGCTCATAATAAAGAAATGACATAAACGAGCTGTAAACCGAGATAGGAATACTTTTTTAAAAAAGAGATGACTTTTATACCATTTGATTTTTGATTATTTTTGATTATAAATATGATTTTCTTGGCCTTGTACAATGATTTTTCTCAGTGAGCCCCCCCTCGCACAGGATCGTTTTTAAAGCACGGTACTGTTTCTACACTTGTCGAGTTTGTCATCTGACTGACAGTAAGGTACTTCGGAGAAAAGCTGGAACAGGAATTGAGAAGAAATCAATAAAATCGAAGTTTGCGAAATTTGAAAGAATGAGCATCTGCTCCGCAGAGTAGCATTCCCATACAAGTCCGGCCTTTGTTCGTCTTGATATCTTCTCAGATTCGGTTCCAGCCCTTTTCCGAAGTTCCGTATTGACTCAACGAATTAATCTTTAGATATAAAATGCCAGATGCACTTCTTAAACAAAGGAATGAAAAAGGGTCAGTTCCTTAGTTTCACACACCCCTTAGTCGTTCACGGCATTACAGGGCGTAATAAGGTAACAGCTTTCTAATGACATTCGAATATTGGCTAGAAGTTGCTTCAGGTATTACATCAAGGTAAGTGGCCAGACCGTGGCTTGTCGTACCAGACTTCGTGATGTTGCGTCAGATACAACCTAATAGAGTACTCCAAAGAAGCACGAAGCTCTGGCCCGGAAGAAGAACATAAACGGAAGTAATTAATTGCTGATACTATGAGAAATATACGCTGCGCATGAGGTCCGCAGCGTATATTTCTCATAGAAACTGCAATTAATTACTTCCGTTTATGTTCTTCTTCCGGGCCAGAGCTTCTTTCGAGTACTCTATCCACACATTGGCACACAAATCGACGTGATCATTAGGCGAGACCACTGCAAATGCAAAGGCGATACTGAAGTACATTTTTCGGCGATACAATTGAGTATTGCCAATAATCGGCCTTACGGAAAAGTTTTGCCTTCAGAACGGCGATACATAGGCGTATCGCCAAAATTTGGCGATACTTTTTGGTACCGTCGACGGGGGTAACTTGGGACAGTCTGTCCTGTACAGCTTGTTGGTGCTGCCATTCCGCGACGGGGGTTCCTAGCGTCAAACCCGCGGCAGAGTTTTGTTTCAGAGGCCTCAGGGCATTAGCGGAAAGGTAGAAAAGGTGCATAACATAACAATTAGTATTTGAGAAACGGGAAACTACATAATAGGGTTTTTGACAAAATTTGTCAAACATTGACAAGTTGACCCTAGTGCAAGGAGTGATATGCAGATTTGGCCGATTAGTCTCTCTGGGTTGTTAGATCATACACAGACAATAAAGTTCGCAAAAGGGCGTTGATTATAGTTTTCCCATCTTCGGTCCAGACTTCATTTTCTCAAAAATCGAAATTTTACGGGGTAACTTGGGACAGTCTTTTCCTCATGTTTCCAGCAGTCGTAGCCTCCTAGGAGTTGACTTACCTGGTCCCTGACATAACTTAAACTTAGGATTTGACGCTCATGATGGAAAGAGATGCCTTGCTCTGCAGTTTTGTCTTCCGGTAATCCATATTTTGAAATTTTCAGAAAATGCCTGGAAAATACTAGTAGAAAAGAGCGTTCCGCGTAGAGCCCTAGATATACTCCAACATCGGTCCTACAAGAGTTCCTAGGCCTGAATTTTTGGTCTATATGTTGTGACTTGAATTTATTACGTCCATTAACATCAATAGATGCATGGGAACGTAGCTAATTACCTACTGTCCCAAGTTACCCCCGGTCATGGGGTACACGGAAAAAAATCCGTGGTCCTGGCGACCGAATCTCGATCGCCACGACCATCTTCTTCGATAGCTTGGGGGACTACCGGATTTCTGATCGTGAGAACCATGTCACCGAGCTGAGGCAAGCTGGCCATCAGAACGACTGTGTAGATTGTGACAACCAAGAACGAGGTATCCTAGAACCGTCGTCCATCAGTTGCAGGGAAGGTATGATCTTAGTGCCTCTTCCAGACGACCAGAAAGTTGGTTGAGAGAACCAACTCATCTGACTCTTCAGCCGATATCTCGTTCGTGGGGAATTTCTAGGCAACGCTCAGCAGACTCGGTTTCAACTTGGTCTGTGGTCCTCGTAAAGGTAGTATTTCTTACACTGTGATCCGAAACTGGCATCACAATCAAAAATGAACGAGACGGCACACAGTGGGCCACGAAGCCGGTTTAGGCGGACATAATTATCCCAGGCCGTACTAATGGTTAGTTTGGCGTGTAACTTCGTAGTCGGGGGTTTTGATGGGCGAGGAATCCGATTTAGACAGTATCAGACCCCCAGTGCGAAATTTGACATTATCTGATAGGAAGGGACCTGTTACGCCAAGACATGGTCTGACATCTTTTCTACGTTTTCATGAATTAAACAACGCAAAAACCTAAACAAGCATACTCGCGTTAAAGACAAACTCTGACATGCACAACTCTAATCATTACAAGCAACTACTATGCAGCAGCGCCTCCGTTGCGCGGGGAAGCGTTGCGCTGCGCGGGGCTGTTTTTCACCTTTTCGGCGATGTTTAGGAGACCCTACAACTCAGAGGTGCAAGTAGGTGCAGCTAAATTCTTTTGGGTTTTGTTCCTTGGCATGTTGGCTTCCGCAAGGACTAAAGGAGGCCGTTAAACAACGTTAAACAAAAAAGTGCCGCCTCTGCAAAGATTAATTTTGACAATTTTGTCAAAGTGTAGTAAAAATGAAGCGGACACCACAAAAATAGTCCAAAATCAAATGCAAATGTATGTAAATTTTTGTAAAGAAATGCCCTTTCACGTGGTGTCAATAAAAAGTATGTTGGACAAAAATTAACAAGTGTTTTATGCGTTTGAAATCATACATATTTACTACACCAAAGTAGCGCAAATCGTTTGGTGCGTGTTTGACAACCTGTAGGTTGGCTAAAACGTGTCCCGGTGTTGAAATTCTGCCCAATCCTGGTTCCTTGGAGTATTGGGGAGAGATATCACGAAAAATAACTTAAAGATTTGAGAGTTGAAAAAATGGAATTATGTCCGCCTAAACCGGCTTCGTGGCCCACTGTGCGGCACGGCGAAGACGCCGCATCGTCGTTCTCTGCCCGAGAGAGCAGAAGACAAGTGGCGGGGGATCATGCCTGAACCTATCCTAATGACCGAACGTAGACGCCAGCGAGAGGCAACATGAAAATGCGTTCTTCTCGACTTCAGTGTAATATTTTGTTCAGAACTTTTAGCTGACGGCAAGAGAACATATTTACCGAGGCAACAGACAACATTATTTGCGAAAATTATTTACTTGAGTAACATAAATCGGAAATACTAATAGGCGAACGGGCACGCCGTCACCAAGCGGCAGGTCCGTGAAACCTCGACTCTCAGAACCGAATTTCCTTGAGCAGAGCGGTCGGTTGTGACGATCGGCTCGGGCCGACCAAGTGACTTGTAAGAGGATAAATACGCTAGTTGGTTGTCTGAATCAAGCCGTTCGATGCCCACAATCACTGCAACGACAACTGAGTACATCCGATCGTGACGACCAACGGCTTTTTTTCCGTGTAACTTGGGACACTCTTTCGGGACCGCTTGGAAACGATGTAATCGAGGCAAATGAACCAGACAAGCATGAAATCATGGGAAAAGGGTCAAACTTTAACATAGTTAGGATCCATTGGTCTGGATTGAGAATCTTGCCTCTGTCGTTCAAAAAACGTGAAAAAGTGTCCCAAGTTACTCCCGTTGACGGTACTGCCGAAACCACGGCGTTAAACTAAGAACTTGTCCCCTTGATTTGATCAACGTTTATTGCCAAATTGTGGCAATACTCCAAAGTATCGCTTAATTTTGGCGATACATTTGTGTATTGCCGTTTTGACGGCAATACTTTTCTGTAAGGCTGTTTATTGGCAATACTTAATTGTATCGGCAAAAAACGTACCAAAAGTATTGCGATTGGATTTGCAGTGACAGCATTTGGTTTTAGAGACCAGATCCACCCTGTTCCAGGAGAGCGTACCAAGGGTGTATGCAACCCTCAAAATGGTCGACATACGAATAAGCATTTACAGACTATGTTACACCAAAGAGAATCGGCCGGCACAGGCCTATAAGAGTGCTAAGCAAATACTGCCAATAACAGCGCGAACAGGAATTCTAGCTATAAGATAGAAATTACTGCCCTTACAATGGTCATTCCTGGCATTTGAAAACGATTTTTGTGTAGAGCTATTATGCCTGTAACACATCAGTGACCCACCTATTACGCCTATTGCGGGGCGAATACAGGTATTTCACCAGGTATTGTTACAGCAATTACAGGTATGTCGTGTTACCGACAGACGAACACCGACATGGGGGGTATGACATGCATGGCTTTGTTGCACCAGTGTGCTGCTGACCTTGGCGACGGGGCACTTGAAGGTCGGGTGGAAGGCACTCGTGAAGCCGCTCCACATCATGCCCTTCGCGGTCAACATGCTGCAGATGTTCGCGGTGAACGGCCAAGTGGCAAAGTACTCGCACGTGTTGGACGACACAGCATCACGGCACTTGTGCAGCACGACTTTCATCTGCGTAACACAAGTGGAAACAGTGCAAAACGAGAGCGTTGCTCTACCCTCCGTTTTCAAGCGTAATTAATAACTCGACGCAAGGTCAAAGAGAACTGCCTTCGCGAACTTTTTGGCGGACGGAGGACGTATACGTGCAGTTCATGTGCCCTGTACCGTGGACAGACAATAAAAGTCTCACCGATTGACAGCACTGAAAATCCAAGTGTGGGACAGGCATGCACTAGATAACGTAGGACAAACTGTCCCACGCTTGCAAACGTGTGACAAATCTGTGTCCCACGCTCACAAGCGTGGGACATTTTGTCCCACGTTATCTAGTGCCTGCGTGCCGCACACTTCGATTTTCAGTGAGGCCAAATTTTAGCGAGACTTTCACGTTTGATGAAAACTTGGCAATACTTCTTGTCTCGCTATATCTTGGCGCAATGACTCTTTTCTTATTATTCACTGCAGGCGTTCTATAGTCATTCTGCACATTTTCTTCGAACTGAATAGGGACGGCCGATACCTCTAAAAGTATCGATACTTGGGTATCGATACTTCCAGCAGCCGAAGGTATCGGAGTATCGATCCTCAACCTCAAAAGTATCGATACCCCCGAGTATCGAGTCGATACTTTAAATGAACCTCAGTAAGTATTTCCTCCGTAAAAATTGCCAGTTTTTTAAGTGAATTTATAATCTAACATATCAAAACATAAGAAAAACTGGAAATTTTGGTTGCGCGACGAAAAGTTGCCAGTCTTCAGACCGCGCATGCGCAGTGTAGTTTGAGACTACAGTCAAGACTGTCGTGTCATAAAACAGTTTGACTGCAGTTAGGACTACGTTCCAACCGCAGAGCTACCTTCACATCCAGAATGCACTTTAAAGACAGCTATCTGTCAATAAAGACTGCAGTTCTGTAACTGCAGTTTTGGCACTGAGTTTAAACTGTAGTTGTACTACTGATCCTTCCACCCGGGGGGGCCAGAGTATCGAGGTATCGAGGGAAATCGACCCAAAAGTATCGATACCTAAAAGTATCGAGTAAAAAGTATCGATACTTTAGGCAAAAGTATCCATACCTCCAAGTATCGAATCGGTATCGGCCGTCCCTAGAACTGAAGCTCTTCCTTATAAGCACTGGGCCCAAGCCCAAGCACTTTCTCCTATGAACCCCGACGCGGCGGAGCCTACTCTAGCAAAATGGTGCAAACCCCCCGCCCCCTTCCCCCTTTGCAGTAAACACTATTCTGTACTTACGAAACTGATATTCTCTAAATCTTTAGCCCTCGGTGCACTTACCTTGGTGAGCGCCTTGGCCGTCCTCTGGAACTCCATGACCGCATTGAGGTAGACGACCCCGCGGCTGTCGACGAGCGACGAGTAGTTGCTCATGAGAAGCGCGTGCTCGTGGTCCTTGCAGTGCTCCATGTACAGGACGCGGGGCACGAGCAGGGTGTGGTGCGCGCCTGCACGTCCCTGAAGTGTAAGAATGTGCAGCTAAAATGTCGAGAGTGTTGTCACAGAGGCACTGCCCGCTGCACAAAGGTGAACGCCTCAGACGCGCACGTGCCTCCGCGCATTGAGAAAACCTTATAAACTATTTTAGGCCTTGCAAAAGAAAAGCAGCTTGTTATAACAGAGCATTTTGATCATACATAAGCTTTCAAACAAAATACTTCATAATTTCCGAATTATTTCTTCGTATAGGGCTAACGAAGTAACGAAGTATATTAGTTGGAATTTTGTATGCTCAAAATACTTCGTGAGGTTTAAGCGTACGGCACTCATAATCAACGCGAGACGGAAGTTCCGTACGTTTTACGGATTGTATTGTTGGAATACTTCCCATACACACGTACGGAATTTTTCAGTATACCTTTCGTAATTCAGCACTGTTAGTCAGAGAAGCGAGAGCAAACAGGACCACGAGTTTGGCGTTCATGGTGCAGAGGCTGAAAGCGGAAGGCATATCGAATCCGAAATAGATAGTCCCCCTTGCTGTTGGCGGTCGACACTTCGCACCTACAAATGTGATCACTATCAACCTGGGGCCGGGCACAACTCTGATTCACAACCACAAGGATCGTGGCCACCTGTTTGGGTAAGAGGTATAATTCGCACCTACAAGGTGGAACCCTTTGCAATTAAGGGCCTGAAACCAATATTTTTCCCGAAAACGCAATGCACCCCCATGGCCGGTGTATAGTAAGAGTATAATGGTGAATACAAGGCGAAAGGCATTAACCTTTTGTTTTAAAAAGGTTTCCCTCGCCCAAAATTCGAGTGAAACGCAATGTATCAGTCCTATATGGCCGCACAGTCTCAGCGGCGCTGTTAAAGTGAAGGGAAACCCTACGACAGGTAGTGGCGAGCCAAGGATATACCTAATGACCCTGCAAAATCTCAGCCGAATCGGCCGAGCCGTTCAGGAGTAGTGCGGACACACACAGACAGACAAAACTTTCCAACCCCTTCCGAGTAACGGGCTTCGCTATCGCTCAGCCAATAAATACGTGGTCATTGTATTTCAGATATATTGAGATTCTCTGATTTGCAGTGAAGATACTTCACGAACGCTGCAGTGCAGTTAGGATAGTTATAAGATAATTCGAAATCTATATCTATCACTATCTCTAAATCTGCTCTAACAGTTAGGGTTATTCTTCAAGGTAGATGCACGCCAGACCGTGTCTTGTCGTAACAGGCTTCGCGACGCTGAGCCGTGTCTCGCCAAGGGACTCTGCTCACCGAGCAATCATTCAATCACGCTGCACCTTGTGCGGGCTGTTACGGTGGCAGTCATGCAAGGCGGTGCCGGGAACAGCGTTGCCAAGTGTCACTGAGCATGGAATGCCCACTGGCCGATTTGTCAGCCGGTCCACTCCACTTCTTTCTGACAGCGAGCTTCGGTCCAGGTAGGTGCATGCGTTTTTGATCCCGAAGCATGGAGCTAGTTTCCATGAGGCTGTTTTTGGTCGGAACCAAAAAGTGTATGATATCATTACTCGCCACGAGTACGAAATTCTGATGAAGGGTACGTAACGATCGTAACGATTGTGTCGCGTGGGTGTTCGTGCGGGCATTTCTATGGTTTAGGTTGTATCTGGGTTAGTCTGAACTGGTCCTGTTTTATTGTCTTAGATCCTCAAGCCCTTACCAAAGTTTTAGACACGCTTATTAAGAACAAGGCCCCACACACGGCCACTTGGCGGCCTCAGGCTCAGAGCACGCCGGAGCCAGTGGCTGAGCAGCCAGGTAGCGTTGTTGTTCAAAGTAGGAATCTGGACGAGCCAGCTAGTGAAAGTGAGTCTTCTTACTGCTGTAGGGTCGTCCATCAATAACGTTTGCGCACTTTTGGGCTTTTTGACCCCCCCCCCCGACCAGATGTTACATCTGTCAGTGTGTCCCCTGTGCAGGAAAACAGCTATGATGTCGAGGTAGTTTTCCTCGATTGTTTTGTCTGGTTTGTGGTTTATCCACTGTTCTACATTCTTCCTTTTTTTCAGTTCATCAGTAAACATGTTGCTAGACTCTTTTGCTCCTTGAGCCCCATTCAATGTAAGGACGACCTATTCTGGATGGCTCAAGAGCGAGTCCGAGTGGAATCACCAACTGATTTGGACGTCAACACTGGCAGCTCTGCAGTCATCCAAGTATCAAATTTGCCACCAAAACTATTTGAGGTAAAAGCATCAAGTTAAGGAAATTCATAATTCACAATGCACAGATAGGACTAAGGGTGAGGCTTCACAATTCACCCCTCACCCTATCTGCGAATAGTTAAATGTGAAGTGTGAATTTCCTCAACTTCACATAGTCAAACCCTTCAATTTTGTGAGCAATTGCAACATTTGTTACAAGCATGAATTTGCTCTCTGTCTCTTTTCAGGACCACTTCAAAAATTTTACTAACCAAATTGCAGTGGACAATTCAGTGGCGGATAATCCTGAAATCGTGATCAAGAGAGTAATGAACCATAATGTTCTAGAGCGACACTGCTGTGTGGAGTTGGGTGTCTACTTAATGTTTCTGAGGTATATACTGTATTAATTAAATGGTTATTAATGGGTGTGTTTCTGTTTTCAGTTTGTTACTCCTATGATCGCTTTTGTAATGAAAAACTTGTTGAATAAGACAGAATATGATAGACATGAATTGGAAATAAAACTTCTAACAGAGCCAGAAGTACTCGACTCGCCCTGGGTCAGGTTCGAAAACTTGCCAATTTTTTTCCTATGGGGTGAGTCTTTGTTTCCTAATATGATGGTTTTTGGGGTAACAAAGTATTACTAAATGCTTCATTCTTGTTTGCAGCCTCACTTCATCAACTTCCTTCAGACCGTGAGATTCTTGTGTAGTGCATGTAAGCTTTGGTGGTCTTCTGCTTTTGACACTTGCATTTTGTCTTAACTTACTTTCAATTACTTTTTCTTTTTATTCTTTGGTTTCAGTTCATTGACTGTGATATTGCCCGTGAAATTATGGGCCTATCCCAAGTCATTTATGATCTACGGTTGCTTGCTCGTCACCACATTGCTGGCATAATCCAACCTGGGAGTGACATTCTTTTCTTCTCGGGCTTGCCAAACCCTTTTTACCCACTGGGACCACACGCACACGAAAGTGCAGACTAGATCACCTGGACACACTAGCACAGGCAAATGCGAAAAGAGCGCGGCAGTCAAGTGGTCAAGCGCCAAATTTAGGCGATACTTTTGTGTTTTGAAGGCAATACTTTTCCGTAAGGCCGTAAGGCCAAAGAGGTACTAAAAGTATTGCCTTTGGATTTACAGTGCTGCAGCAATTTATATTGTTTAGTTCTCCTTAGTCCATTGCATTATTAACTTGTCTTGATACAGTTGTGAATATCTTTGGGCTGCCAGCCATGGATCTTGAAAGCTGTCCTTGTGGTGAACAGAAGGACTCGGTGTAAGGAACTCCCCAACAGTGTTCCAACTCGTTGTTTATTTGATTTGGTTTTGTTGCTCTGTTCTTTGGTGACTTATTTTTTTCCATAGATTTTTGATTTCTTGTGACTCATGCCTTCAATGGTATCATGGAAAATGCGTTGGCTTATTCAACATTAAGGGTATTGACATGCACGCTTTTTTTATTTTCATACCGGCGCACCCGGAAAAATGTTTTTCATCTATTTAATTAGCCTACGCCAAAACTGAGACCGGTCGAACAGGACGTAGGGGTCGCCAATGTTTTTTTAATGTTCAATTTCGACAATGTTAGCTCGTGGGGTTTGATCGGACATGTTTGGGAAAATTAGTAACGTCGTTTTGGTGAAAAAAAAGCCTTTTTTAGCGTTTTGAAAGTTTGGAATTTTCTTGATCGGTTTCGAGTCTGCACCAAGCAAATAGTCCTAAACGTCATTTTAGAGAAAAGTCTCAGCTTTCGAATGCCGCATCGAGAAATGCTCTACGACCTTTCGTTAAGAAGATACAGGCGCAGGCGCGGATACACGGGGGGGGCAAAGGGTGTTTTGCCCCCCCCCCCCCAGAAGCTAAGGCATGCTGATAAAAAAATCACGCATTTGCCCTGTCATTGACTAGTGGAACTAGACAAGAACTGAAAATTTTCTCAGCTCGCTTCGCTCGCAAACGATTCACTTTTACCAACCTGAATAACTCTGAGAACCGCAAATTTTCTCGGCTCGCAAACAAACGCTGACCACCCTCGAAAGTCGTAAGAACCGCAAATTTTTTCAGTGCTCACTTCGCTTAAACAAATGACACGTTTACCACTCTAAAAAGTCCTAAGAGGTGCAAATTTTCTGAGCTCGCTTCGCTCGCAAACAAATAACGTTTGCCACCCTTTAAAGCCCTAAGAACCGCAAATTTTCTGAGCTCGCTTCGCTCGCACACGTTTAGTACCAAAACTGCAAATTTTCTGAGCTTGCTTCGCTCGCACACAATTTACATTTACCACTCCTTTAATACATTCAATCGTGTGTTAAAAATTGAAAAAAGCACCTGCAGAACCCCCTGAGACCCCCTGAACCCCCTGAGGCAACCCTCATTGCCGTGTTTGTCTTTGTCCGGCGGCCCCTGAAAGTAGGCAACCCACCATGTTTGCCCCCCCTAGGACGGACGGCCAGATCCGCGCCTGTACAGGCGTTGAACGAATAACATGTCACCCAAAATGTCAATGAAATTGGTGAATTTTGTTCTCAGTGAGCCACACGGTAGCGAAGTACGTCGGCGGTGCCTAAATCAAAGTCACATGTCAAAAACATAATTAAATTTCTATTGGGAAACTTCCTTAAAATGTTTTTCTCTCGAAAATGCGTAGAAACAGTCTAAATGCCAACCCATTGAAAGTGAGCAAACATGAAACATGTGTCTCTTAAAATCATTGAGAATTTTAAAAAATTATAACACTTTACAAGAATAAATTGATTGTAATGAGCCTATGTTTTGGACTTTGGAGTTCTCTCTCTAAATTTTCTAGTAGCAAGAATACTCTCGTGTCTCTTTTCTCACCACACTTTACTAAAGCTGTCTGGGAAACTGTGCGTGCATTACGTCCGACAGCCTGGCTGTGGCACGGTAAGTCTCTCAAAACATGGTGTCCCCGGTCGTGCCAAGGTCTTTCAGCTACTCGGTGGTTAGGTGTGCGACCAGCGGGGGCTCGGTCACGGCCACAGGAGTTCGGCCCGTCCACTGGACCAGTTCTGTATAGTCTTTGGCCTCGAGGCGAAGTGAAGGGACGACGAATCGCCGCACCACCTTTGGGTCCCTTGCAGAATGACGTTGACCGCGCGCTGGCGAACATTTTCCCTACAAACCATAAAACACAAAACCTTTTAGAAAAAGTCGCCAAAAAAACAACAGTTTTTAAGCGGAAATTAACATACCTTTCGTCAAACAGCATTCCAAGAAGAATGTTCTCTGGATGGGCAAAGAACGCATGGGGCATTCCACGTTAAACCATAATGTCCAAAACGTACTTGTTCAGATCCGGCTCCCAATTTTTAGCAGATGATACCTTTACTACTTCAAAACATATCTAGAACAATACAAGACTCAAGGTGTCAGCTAGCTTCTACTCTGAAGTCCAGAAACCAAGTGTCTATCCCAACAATAATAGGGGTTGGCTGCCGGGACGGGATGGTGCGTGTGGCAGGCAACGAGGTGCAGTCTACGCGGAATGTCGCAGCAACTATGCCTCCCGGTTCGATTTATAATTTGTGTAGGTCTCCATGCATAATGCATCGTCTGCTAAAAATTAGTGGAGTGTACCATGACTGTGACGAACAAGAGTGCCGAAATTGAGCCCAATCCGTTGACTTGAGCAGGAGGTTGAGGGGCAGTTGATTGAAGAGCCGCAGCTACTGGGGCAGCTGGTTGCTGAATTGCTTGCAGAGTAGCCGTGGAAACTTCCAGCAGGTTCCTGGGTAGTTGCATACCTTCGGCACACACTGCAGACTGCTCACACGGACGCGCACACCGCACGAACGTGAAAGCGTTCCGCTACGACACACGTACTCCTCGCCAGAGAGAGGAGCCTTTCGGCCTCCAGGGCGGCCTGCTCCTTGGGAACGGTACAGGGAGGGCAAAATGGCTTCGAGTTGTTACCTGCGCGCGGAGGCGGCAAGGCGCAGCAGAGGGGGTGGCCAGGACGCAAAGCGGGCACATCACCTGGTCCCGGACGGACTGCCCGTTCGCCGCCGCCTCCACGACAGCCTTGGTAGGCAGTTCCTATTAGGAATAACAATAAAATGTGCTGTGACAGGTTTTACCGATTGAAGTGATGAGTCTTAAAATTATTGACTGACAAAGGTTAGACTGTCCCACGAAAAATTACATGTTCTGTGAACGCACGGGGCACTTGAAAAATAAGTTGTAAATGTAAAAAAAGGAATAATTCTTTTGGCCCAAGCATTCGGACAGAATTAAGAGGTCGCGCATCGCTCCCAAAGTGAAACCAACCGCTTTTTGGCAAATTTCACGTTTTCTTCACAGCCACGGCGCTTCCCGGCCGTCCCTCGCGACTCGGTTGGACTCTTAGTACCCTCGCGTAACATTCCAGCACCAACCCGACCCTTGCCGACCCCAAAAGCCCTTTTAAAATAGCCAAAAACATTAATTTTTTTCAGAAATTTTTGTTGAGAAGTGCTGAAAAAGGTGCAAGGAGTGAAGATTAGAGAAATGTGTGTGGCTCAATCGATTGGAAATCATCGAAAACCTACTCTTCAAACTCAGATGCGTACTCAGTACGCTTTGATCAGAGTGTGCTGATAAGTACGCTTTGATAAGAGCGTACTGAGATGAGCACGCTTTGGTTAAAGCGTACTGAAATCAGTACACTCTCATCAAAGCGTACTCATCTCAGTACGCTCTTATTATAGCGTTCTCATCTCAGCACGCTATCACTATAGCGTACTGATTAGGCACTCTCCCATCATAGCGTACTGGGCCAATCATGAGCACGCAGTAGTTATTTAACTGCTTGATGCTATATAACAGCACATCTCAAATGGAATTTAATCAAGGATGGGACCCTCTGCCCCTCTTGACCAACTGCGATACACTGATCACATTCTGTTTCTTGTTTCCGATTCACTCCATGTGAGATGTGACAAAGCAGTCAATAATAGTACTCACCAGACAGGCAGCAGCTGGCTTATCCACAAAATCACTGAAGTTGTCATCTTCTGTGTGATGACAAGGGGTGGCAGAATACCAAATCACTGACACTTTCTATGCACCTAACCTCCTGACAGGTGCAGTGTCAACACAAACAGTCTCTTAAAGTCCTTGTCTTTTCTTGACAGCTCACTAACATACATTGCAAACCGAAGCATCACCTCCAGGCGAGGAATAAATAAGGAAGACTGCGTTGAGGCAGAGTAAGAACCGTTCAAAATACTCAAACACGCTGCACAGACCCGACACGAAATCAAGAGACCGGCCATTTTTGTCATAACTAAAGGGACAAAAACCAAACAAACCGTCCCCTCCCCCCCCCCTCCCGTCGCCCGTGTGCGAAAAGTGTTGCCACCCTTCTAATGTCAACCCACAACAAGGATAACCCGGAAAAGCACCGTCAACGTACGCATGCTGTCTTTAAATACATAAAAACAGTACTCAAAATTATTTCTAGTCTACTACACCCCAGCATATGGCACAGTTTTCCTTTGTTTCTTTTTGTGATTATTTGCTATGTTGGTCAGCCTGAAACATTCAAATTGCGCGAAACGTTCCAATGAGACAATCAGCTGATCGTTAGGATTTTGATCGCATTGTGCTTAGTGTTCTGGCTGTGACTTTAGTTTTGATAAAATGAAGAGGGTAATCCTAGAAGTAGAGGGAAGGGCTAAAGTCCTGTGGGTTGATGGGTCAGCCTGAAACATTCAAATTGCGCGAAACGTTCCAATGAGACAATCAGCTGATCGTTAGGATTTTGATCGCATTGTGCTTAGTGTTCTGGCTGTGACTTTAGTTTTGATACAATGAAGAGGGTAATCCTAGAAGTAGAGGGAAGGGCTAAAGTCCTGTGGGTTGATGGAGACAGTGTGGAACAGCTCCGGGAGTCATTTATGGAACTGTGTGTTAATGATCCAGTGCTTAGAGGAAGAGTCAAGACAAATTTCCCTACATTTTCAAGCTTTAAATCAGTGGAAGATAGTATTCTTATAATTTGAGGCAATACATCATGTCAACAGCCTGAGAGGATATATTAAATGTAGTGTTCAATGAGCAATTGAAAATCAAGAGCGTTCACGTCAATGCTGTTTATATTTTATAGCACAATGACAATGGTTAACAAAAATAAATTGACATATTATTGTAATAACAAAAATAAACAATAGTCAAAAGTCAACAATTACTTAAACATCTATGACTTCAAAACTTATTTTAAATTTAACAGTCTTTATGCCTCATAGTTATGCAGTTCAATTCAAAGTAACAAAACTTATGTCAATAGTTGACGCAAAATCGCTGAAACGTAAGATTTCATTGATGAGTTCATAACGTTTCCTAGGTCTGCTTTGGGTCAGGATCTTGGCTAGCGCCATCAATGACTCTTGATTTTGCCCGTGGCTTCCTATCTTTAGAAGTTCATCAAGGAGTCCCTTGACAACATCCTTGTTGGCATGAAGGAATGCCACGTCGTCGACGTGGCTTGACGACAGGCCTAACCGCTGTGGCCTGAGAATAAATCTTGGGCACGAAAACAGCCGTTCCACAGACACCTGCGTGGCAGGGATGGAGAGGACTACAAGGGCCAGTTTGTATAACTCTGGGCTGGTGAACTGCTTCTTGTGCCACCACTGGAAGACGTTCTCCGTCGGGGAGAGGGGCACCGTCGTCCTATCGTGCTCGTCCAACAGTGCCCGCAACAAAGCCCGTCTTCCAGTTCGGCCGTTCCGTTCTCCAGAGGTTGTGGTCTGAGCAGCGCCTGTGGCTTCAAGCTTCGCCTTGTTGGCGCGGTCCAGCAGCGCGCTGAACAGGGATGGACCCTCCACTGATAAAAATTTTGTACTAACTTAGCGACACATTTGTCGCTAATATTTTTAACAACAAGATTTGTAGTGCAACGAATAGCTTGTTAAACCATAGTCGTACAGGAACTAAAGGATAGTTTCACAACGACTAACTTGTAATAACACATCAACAGTCCACTTTCAAAAACAAGTCGTTGACCAACAACAAATGTTGTAAGTCAACGACAAGTATTGTAAGTCGTAGATTTTGTTATGTCTGCGACAAGTACTCATGGAGAACTTTTGTCGCTAAATTTATTTTGAATGGTTCTTTTTTAATCAATAGTAATTTCACTATGACTTGGCGAACAAAATAGATGAATTTTCATAATTCGCTTTCATTGAGCAGATAATTGCAAAACATATTGTTTCCACACAAATTGTATCGTTTAGGGTGATAACAAGAATATTGTTCTTCAACGACAAATTGTCGCTGACTTGAGTCAACGACATTTGTTTCGCTTTGGTTCATGATGAAATTCTATGTTTTGGAACGACTAAATTTTCACTCATCTGATTGTTTCTGTACAACCATTTTTTAACAGTGTCGTCTTCGTCGCTCAGCATCCCTGTAGGTTCGTCCTCCTCGCTGCTGTCCGTTCCCGAGTACCATCGACCGCGGGTCCCTCCACGGCCTCCATCCGGTCCGCCAGGTCCAGAAGATATTCCTTGGCTTCCTGCCCCTGGTCCGGCTTCAGCAGGGAGAAAAACCTTGGATCGAGGAACACGGCGACCTGGAAGCCAGGATAATCTAAGAGCGGCGATACCTTATGCCCCTTTGACCTATCTTTGTACATGACCCCTTTTGCCCTCTTCTCCATGGCCAAAAGGAGCTTGCCGGCTAGAGCAGAACCCTTATTCTTTGTCTGCTTCAGAACCATGACCACGCCGCTCCAGATGGCGAAGAATTCCCCAAGGGTCATGTCTTGCCTCTGGAGTTGAGCGGTGGCCTTCCGAGCAGGCAGCAGGTCTTCCAGGATTTCGCTGACTTGGGTCCATTGCTCTGGGCTGAGGTAGTACTCGACCTCGTCGGCATGAGTCCACGCCAACTTGTCCGTAATGAATGTCTGCAGGCGGGACAAACTGGCTAGCATATCATAGAGACTGCCCTAGCGAGTACAGACATCCAATTTGGGCAGTGCCTGATACGCATCCTTCATCTGCCGTACCTGCATGGACAAGAAAGTAAAAAAAAAAACATGAATTTCGTATGTGGGAAAATGATGGCTTTCGAAACGAACGATAGCGCCCTGGAGCGGGGTGGCCAGCTTGTGGACAGTCCCCTCAAGAAGGACAGGGTCCTCATCAGGCTCCATTTCGCCAATTGGGGTTGAGGTCATCGTCATCTTCAGTTAAACCACTGTACTTCAATGGATGGACTAGGAATACTTCTCCAATGATGCACTGTTAAAAATAATCGTAAATTTACGACATTTTGTAGAACAATTATGTCGTCTTTAAACGACATATTTTGTTACGACTCAAGTCGTAAATATACGACTCGAGTCATAAATTTACGACTTATCTGTCGCTAATTTTGATAGCGAGACGTTCCGTTCTGAAACGAATAAGTCCTAAGTTTACGACTTAGTCGTAAGTTTACGAACGATCGTAATTGATTTATGGAATATGTCGTGCAGTTATGACTTCAGTTGTACATTTACGACTCTTGTCGTAAATTTGGGACATGAATCGTAAATAAACGACACAAATCGTAAAAAAACGAGCAAAATTGTAACTTTTGACCAACTTTTCGGGGATTTCAGATTCCAAAATATTTAATCGCGATTACGACATTGTCGTAGAAAAACGATTTTTTTGTCGTTCAGTAACGACGAAGTAGTTTGAGAACGATTTCCGTCGCTATCAAAATTAGCGACATTTTCGTCACTAATTTACGACAAAATTTCTGACAGTGTGGTATACTTTGGGATCTCAATGCACTTTGCTCCCAAGTTTTCCATTGTCACAGTAATTGGTGCACTTACACATGGAACCATCCCGGTCTGGACCAAAACTGTTGCAGGTAATTTTGAGACTTTATTTTCTGCAAATTTATTATTGGCTGAGCGATAGCGAAGCCTGTTACTCCAGTCGGGTTGAAAAGTTTATCATGTGTGTCTGTCTGTGTGTCCGCACTACTCCTCCTTAACGGCTCAGCCGATTCTGCTGAGATTTTGCAGGGTCATTAGGCATATCCTTGGCTCACCACACACCAAAATTCAGCTTTCTATCTCAATCCATTCGGTCATATTAGCCAAAAAACACTCTAAAACGGCAGGAAAAAGACAACTTTTTTGGAACTTTCAACTTTTAATCAAGTTCCATGTCGTTTTAAATGTTTTCGAGGCTGCTGGTGACGAAAATAGAACCCATTCAGACCTCCGACCGAAAGTTTAGCCCCATGCTCAATGCTCTTTTTGAGGGGATCACGCCCATTTCCACGGTCTGCCAAGGAAGGCAGCTTGCCGAAGGCAGGTTAGCGCCGCAGGCCAAGGTAGGTGTGGCGTGGATTGTCGAAACTGGCGCAGCGTCGCGAAGCCTGTTACGACAAGACACAGTCTGGCGTACACCTACCTTGTTGGTTAAGAGTCCCGTTCTGATTGTACTACACACTTAATTCTTATGGACTTTTTAAATGCATAAGAACGCATTTTTCTTCCCTGGAAGAAACTTCGAGGGCACTGCGGTTTGCGTCTGAGGTCGCCTCTTTGCAGCTTGCATGTAAATGCTGCCAGCCGAAACCTAAAAAGTCCGGCAAACAATGACCAATGAGAGATTCCAATGAACTATTTTTGGCTGAGCGATAGCGAAACCTGTTTGTTACTCCAGTGGGGTCGAAAAGTTTTTCCTGTCTGTCTGTCGGTCTGTCTGTGTGTCCGCACTACTCCTCCTGAACGGCTCGGCCGATCTCGGTGAGATTTTGCACACTTTTTGGGTATGTCCTTAGCTCGGCACACGCGAAATTTCACTATCCTAGCTCAACTGGTTCAGTTTTTATTGGCTGAGCGATAGCGAAGCCTGTTACTCCAGTGGGGTTGAAAAGTTTTTCATGTCTGTCTGTCTGTGTGTGTGTGTGTCTGTGTGTCCGCACTACTCCTCCTAAACGGCTCGGCCGATTCTGATGAGATTTTGCAGGGTCATTGGGCATATCCTTGGCTCACCACACACCAAAATTCAGCTTTCTATCTCAATCCATTCGGTCATATTAGCCGAAAAACACTTTAAAAACGGCAGGAAAAAGCCCAGTTTTTTGGAACTTTCAACTTTTTGTCAAATTCAATGTCGTTATAAATATTTTTGAGGCTGCTGATGACGAAAATAGAACCCATTCAGACCTCCGACCGAAAGTTTAGCCCCATTAGTGAAGATTTTGATGACCAAATGCTCTTTTTGAGGGAATCACGCCCATTTCCACGGTCTGCCAAGGAAGGCAGCCTGCCGAAGGCAGCCTGCCAAAGGCAGGTTAGCGCCGCAGGCCAAGGTAGGTGTGTACGCCAGGCGTGGATTGTCGAAACTGGCGCAGCATCGCGAAGCCTGTTACGACAAGACACAGTCTGGCGTACACCTACCTTGTAGCCGAAAAACACCTAAAAAACGGCAAAAAATCGAGTTTTCTGCAGGCTGGTCACCTCTGTCTTGATGGAGGGGGGGTCTGGGGGGACGGAGCACCCCAGCTTCGACAAGTTAAACAGTAACAAGGGTCAAGATCGTGTTATCTGTAGATGAGGCAACTCTATCTAGAATGAAGGGGGGTCTGGAGACCCCAGCATGCAACAAGGTAGAAATAACCGACGATGGACAAGCCAATGCCTGCCGAAGGCAGGCTAGCGCCGCAGGCCAAGGTAGGTACGCCAGGCGCGGATTGGAGGAACAGGCAGCGAGACATCGCGAAGCTTGATACGACAAGACGCAGTCTGGCGTAAACCTACCTTGTTTATGCATAGTTACGCATGCGCAGAAACGTCCATAAGGTATGTATAAAATTATGTATCACTGTGTACATTTTATGCATCTTCCTGCATAAAATGTAAACAGTGATGCATAATTGGCTGAGCGATAGCGAAGCCTGTTACTCCATTAGGGTTGAAAAGTTTTTCCTGTCTGTCTGTCTGTCCGTGTGTCCGCACAACTCTTCCTGAATGGCTCGGCCGATCTCGGTGAGATTTTGCACACTTTATAGGCATGTGCTTGGCTCTGCACACGCGAAATTTCACTATCCTAGCTCAACTGGTTCAGTTTTTATAGCCGAAAAACACCTAAAAAACGGCGAAAAATCGAGTTTTCTGCAGACAGATCACTTCTGCCTTGAAGAAGGGCGGAGCCCCCCAGTCCCGACAAGTTAAAAAGTTACAAGGGATCTAGAATGAAGTTACATGCATCAAGTTACAAATAACCGACGATGGACGAGCCATTGCCTGCCGCAGGCAGGCTAGCGCCGTAGGCCAAGGTAGGTACGCCAGGCGCGGATTAGAGGAACAGGCAGCGAGACATCGCGAAGCCTTTTACGACAAGACGCGGTCTGGCGTAAACCTACCTTGTACTTTGCTTTTTCTTTGTGTCGACTTTCACTTTCTCACTTTTCTCTTTCACTTTGCCACTGTTCCCTTTCTCTGTCTCATTTCCATTGTTCTCTTTCTCTTTCAGTTTCATGTTGAGTCCAACAAGAGGCGAAATGATCGAAGGCTCAGAACATTGTGTCGGTGTGGACAGCACCTCCACCTCATCCTGCTCCATAGCCACTACGTCTTTCTGTCTCACCTATGCGCTGGCCTCTCCCAGCTCATCAGCCTCCAAATCTGCATCCAGCTTTGTCTCCTACTTCTTTGTCTCAAATGGTCTTAATTGGCTGAGCGATAGCGAAGCCTGTTACTCCAGTGGGGTTGAAAAGTTTTTCATGTATGTCTGTCTGTGTGCTTTTCGCAGACACTCCTTAACGGCTCGGCCGATTCTGGTGAGATTTTGCAGGGTCATTGGGCATATCCTTGGCTCGCCACACACCAAAATTCAGCTTTCTATCTCAATCCATTCGGTCATATTAGCCAAAACACACTTTAAAAACGGCAGGAAAAAGACAACTTTTTTGGAACTTATAACTTTTTGTCAAATTCAACAGACATGGGCACGGTACTCTGAAATTGGTACCGCGGTACTTTACCGGTACTATCGATAAGCACGGTACCGCGGTACTTAACCGGTACTATGGAAATTTTCAGTACCGCGGTACTTTACCGGACTTTCAAAAGTACCGACGGTACTTGACGCGGTACTTTAAAAAAAAATTAGAAAATCGAAGATAATTTCAGATAGTAAAAGTGCCGGAACGGCAACAGAAGTGTCCGCCACGCGAACGCCAACATTGCCATTTATTGGTCTCCAGTTCTTTCTGAGCGGCGACGAAGGGCATGTTTATTGCGCGTCATTCATAGCGCACCCCGGCGGCCGCCGGCAGGGCCGGTGACCTGCACAGGCCTGCTACCTGATTCCGAGGGTCTGTTTCTTCCCTGCCTCTCGCGCTCACGGGGCGTCACATGGGGGTGCGAGAGAGACAGGGCAACGAGGAGACCCTTTCGGAATCCGCACGTGGTGGCCATCGGCTCCCCGCACCACTCCTCCCCTCCCCCCTTCTCTGCACCGGCCCTTTCCGGGACCCCGAGGAGGACTGCGGGAACTCAAAGAAACAATAAAGACAGACGGACAAACAAGTATGCAGGCGAGATAGGACAAGGCGACGGCCACGGCTAATCCATTTTTCTCGCTCTTTTCTCTACTCTCCAAGGAAAGACCGACTCGGTACTGTGCGTTACTTTACTCGGGAATCGGTACCGCGGTACTTTACGGTCCTTTTCGCGACATTGGTACCGCGGTACCGGTACTTTACCCAAAAAAGTACCGCGGTACCAGTACCGCGGTACTTTACTTTACTTTACCGCCCATGCCTGAAATTCAATGTCGTTATAATTGTTTTTGAGGCTGCTGATGACGAAAATAGAACCCATTCAGACCTCCGACCGAAAGTTTAGCCCCATGCTTTTTTTGAGGGGATCACGCCCATTTCCACGGTCTGCCAAGGAAGGCAGCCTGCCGAAGGCAGGTTAGCGCCGCAGGCCAAGGTAGGTGTATTCGCCAGGCTGGTTTCCAACGCGCAGCATCGCGAAGCCTGTTACGACAAGACACAGTCTGGCGTACACCTACCTTGTAGAGTCCTTTGATTGGCTCTGACCACATAGTACAAGGTACATTCATGGTGCATTCATCAAACTTTCCTTTTGTTGGTGACTTTCTGACTCTGAACGGGACTCTCACCTTAAGCATGGACTCTTACCTCAAAATGCTCCATGAAATCATATCCAATTAGATTTTTACTAATATCAGCTTCATAGACCCAGTTACTCAGACGGGGTTGAAAAGTTTTTCCTGTCTGCGTGCGTGCGTGCGTGTGTGTCCGCACTACTCCTCCTGACCGGCTCGGCCGATCTCGGTGAGATTTTGCACACTTTTTGGGTATATCCTTGGCTCGGCACACGCGAAATTTCACCATCCTAGCTCAACTGGTTCAGTTTTTATAGCCGAAAAACACATTAAAAAAAACGGCGAAAAATCGAGTTTTTCGCAGGCAGATCACTTCGGTCTTGAAGAAAGAGGGTCTGGGGGGCCGAGGCCCCCAGCCTCAACAAGTTAAAAAGTTCCAAGGGTCAAGATCGTGTTATCTGTAGATGAAGCAACTCTATCTGGAATGAAGGGGGTGAATGAAGAAACAAGTTAGAAGTAACCGACGATGGACAAGCCATTGCCTGCCGAAGGCAGGCTAGCGCCGCAGGCCAAGATAGGTACGGGGGGGCGGCGGGGCCTCCGACAGGACCAGTACCCCGGACGGCACCGGAGTCCACTCGAAGTTCGGCGATACGGCCCGTGCTCCAGTTGAATAGGACGTCGTCGACGGTCAGGGTACCTACAAGACAGGTAAGCTACAACAACAGGGTGGGGGTAGGGGTACAAAAGGTAGTGGACGGACTACTCACTAAGCAGGCCGAAATTGGAGATCAGCTAGAACATTAGGGACGATGTCCAGTCGGCATCGCCGTTCAGGAGCAAGATCATTGGATGGGGCTTGCCGGTAACATTCAACGAGGCATAATAATGCCCCAGCGCCCAAGGACGGAGTCCTGATGGAAGCGTGGGCCCCAGGCCTGGAAACACAACAAAAACAGGTCAGTGGACAGGGGCTCGGGAAAAGGGGAGGACGGAGAGCAAGACTTACCGGCACCAGGCAGGGAGTGACTTCCAGACACACGAGGATGGCGGAGACGATCTCGTCCAACGAGGGGGCCATTGCACAGGAAGGTGTACAGTGTCCAAACACAGGTGAGCGAATGGGTCAGCCGGACCACGGGTCCTCCCCCCTCCCCCCACCTCCCCTCGCCTCATGGGGCTCCCCCCCCCCCCCCCGCCCCCTCCAGCCGGTCGCAGGCAGCGCTCCGGCCGAGGGAGCGACGGAGCGGCCAGCGACAGAGGCACGGTAGACGGCCAGGCTACACGGGACGGCCACAGAGAGAGAGCCTAGGCCAGACGCACACGGCAAAACCAACGTCCGGGTTTCCCAGGCGCACCCTGGAAAAACAGGGCATTTTTCCAGGGTGCGCCTGGGAAACCCGGACGTTGGTTTTGCCGTGCAAGGACAGGAGCAGACGACACAGAAGGTTCAGAGGACGGCGCATGGTAAGTCAGCAATGATTGCAGGACGGACGGCAGGGCAGCCGGCCAGCGCAGAGGCGCACAGCCGGAGGGCGGCTGAGGACCGCGCGATAGCAGACGGCGAGCCAGGCTGCTGTTGTTGTTGTGATTAGGGTGTTGTTGTTGTCCTGGGGGCGAGGCGGCAGTAGGGTTAGGCTATCGAGGCACGACAGCCTGGACACTGGCGAAGCAGCAATTAATTCCTTTAACTCATTTCACATGTTAAAAACATGCTCTAATTTAAGTTAACCTTTTGTTAACACAACCAATCCACAACTAATTTCAAGTGTTAAAAACATGCTGTAATTTAAGTTAACCCGTTGCAATTTCCTCTTCCATCCACAACTAATTTCAAATGCTTAAAACATGCTCTAATTTAACTTAACTTCTTGTACTTTCCACTTCCATCGACTATTGTCCTAGTTATCTGGTGGTATCCGAAGACGAAGTGGCAGGTTTCTGGGGAAGAGCTTCTCTTCACAAAGTAACCATACTCTTTCTCAGCCTTCTGTAGTTCACGAAGAGTGTAAATGGGGCTGTAAATAGATAGGAAAATCTTCTTTGGCTTTTCGTTTATTACCCCAAAGGCCATTGCCTTTACTCTGTCCGGATTGCAGTGCTTGTAGTCCCTGGTGAATCCTCTAATTATGTCGTTCACGTAGATCCCCCAATTTTCTACGCTAGGGGTGCCGAAGAGGGTGATGGCCCTCTTAAGGGCCTGCTGCTGGTGGCGGTTGAGGTCTGCAGGAATGTTTACCTCTCTGCTTCGAAGTGTGAGGTCCAGGAACGACCGTTTTTCCCGTTCTGTTTCGCTATTAAGGGTGTTTTCGATTTGATTTGCCACATCAACTGCTCTACGCATCAAGTCGTCATCCTCTGACAGACTACAAGCGTCCTGATGGTCATTCCTCTTATCCTCTCCTACGGATTCCGCAGAAAGATCCTGCAAAAGGAAGAAGTTGGGAACATTGTAGGGTCTACAGTTGAGTTTTCTTGAGTGAGTGGGACAGTTTCCAAAGATATTAATTATAAAATATCCAAAGTAAGCAGGGGCGTGTGCAGAACGTTTTACTGGGGGGGGGGGCTATTGCCTAACTTGCAGGGGCGTGTACCTCAAATTGCCTACCCTCCAGGCGCGCAACACCATTTGCCTGTCTTTAGGGGCTCAAACAGTGATTATTTATTGACGTTTTAGCCTAAACTCAACCGCGCTCAACCACCTGCTGTGTTTGGCAGCAAACTTAGCAACCAAACATCAGTATCTGGCAGTGCAGTTAAGTCTGCAGCGTCAGTAACCCTTCGGTTTGACGAAATAGTCGCCACCATGTCGCCACTCTGAACAGATAAACATTGTTCTCTCCAGGCCTGCACGGCCCCGGCCCCCCCCCCCCCCTATTAACCAAAACTCCTCGGATCTGGACGTTTTGTAAGGGGGGTCGGATCGAACTGGGGGGGCTGAGCCCCCCTTGAGCCCCCCGTAGACACGCCCCTGAAAGTAAGTGGGTAAGTTTTCTAGGCCAACTGGGTGACTTTTTTATGCTTACACATCTTATCAGCGGGTGGAAACTCCGGGCGGGGGGTGAAACCAGGTCGGCACGGCCGGTCCGGCCGGCAGACGAACCCGTAGCCCCGAATTGGTAACTTCTTTTTATCAGAACTATCATAAAACTAAGAGTTAGGAGGAAAACCGGGTACCGTCGTGAAGCCAAGAGTCTGCAGAATGCTCTCGTTTCATTGTTTTGATCTAAAAATGTCAATACTATCAATATTCATGATTATAACGAGATGGCCGGGTAGCGGAAAACGCTACACCCGAAATTTGTTCACTTTCGTTCTCAGTTCTGAGCGATGCTAGACCCTACATGTCCGCGAGCCGATTTTTCCATATAAAATTTAACGTGGCGTAGGGTACATTATTTGGCGATAAAACTAACCTCAACGTTGTAGCCGAGTCCAAATGTGATGTGTCGAAATGGCGTCTGCCGGCACTTCTCACTTTAACCTCATAAATAAGATACAGACAATACAATTAACCAAAGCATATATAGCCTACGCCACGTGAAATTTTATGAGGATTCCAAATCTCTCCTTGGTTTTTGAAATAAACCTACGATTACTGAAGGCGAGACAGATTAAAATCAGCCGACGCAAAGACGCCAAAACGACAGGTTTACTGTGTGCACTAATGTGAGAGAACTGCTTAGTCTAAACACTGTTGCGTTCCTGATAATTTATCTTCAACCATGTCTTCGTGCAGATTCGTTGAGAACTTGATATGAATTTACAAATTCAATGGGAAAATATTGTGTCAACAAACACCGTTTGAAAGAAAACAAGCCCGTGTCGTCTGAACTAACCTATGAGAAATTCACCGCTCGGCTCGGCCTCGCAGTTTCGGTGTGTATGGAAGCCGATTGCCACTAGACGCGTTCAATACAATGTTCAAAATATTTCATAAACAATCTGTGATTAGACATTAACTGTACGCTTTCGGAGCGGCATACATTTCGATGAGCAGCGTACACCGCTAACCGATGCTGACCGGAGAATTTTTCATAAACTGGTCCAGTTGACACGGGCTTGTTTTCTTTCAAACGGTGTTTGTTGACACAATATTTTCCCATTGAATTTGTAAATTCATATCAAGTTCTGTGCAACGAAACTCAACGAATCTGCACGAAGACATGGTTGAAGATAAATTATCAGGAACGCAACAGTGTTTAGACTAAGCAGTTCTCTCACATTAGTGCACACAGTAAACCTGTCGTTTTGGCGTCTTTGCGTCGGCCGATTTTAATCTGTCTCGCCTTCAGTAATCGTAGGTTTATTTCAAAAACCAAGGAGAGATTTGGAATCCTCATAAAATTTCACGTGGCGTAGGCTATATATGCTTTGGTTAATTGTATTGTCTGTATCTTATTTATGAGGTTAAAGTGAGAAGTGCCGGCAGACGCCATTTCGACACATCACATTTGGACTCGGCTACAACGTTGAGGTTAGTTTTATCGCCAAATAATGTACCCTACGCCACGTCAAATTTTATATGGAAAAATCGGCTCGCGGACATGTAGGGTCTAGCATCGCTCAGAACTGAGAACGAAAGTGAACAAATTTCGGGTGTAGCGTTTTCCGCTACCCGGCCATCTCGTTATAATCATGAATATTGATAGTATTGACATTTTTAGATCAAAACAATGAAACGAGAGCATTCTGCAGACTCTTGGCTTCACGACGGTACCCGGTTTTCCTCCTAACTCTTAGTTTTATGATAGTTCTGATAAAAAGAAGTTACCAATTCGGGGCTACGGGTTCGTCTGCCGGCCGGACCGGCCGTGCCGACCTGGTTTCACCCCCCGCCCGGGAGTTTCCACCCGCTGATCTTATCAATTATACTGACCATCACTGACGTAAATGTTTGGGAAGGAATGACCTCTTCTGCGTTTTCATTTATGGGCTCTTCGTCGTCGCTGTGGCTTATCCCTGAAGTTGTGAGGATTCCGGAGTCATCCTGTGGACAAGTTAAACCAGCTGTACCACCATTTCACGTTCATTAATATTGTACCTTATAATTTGTAAGTATTTCTTACCAATCTGGAAGTTATTTTGAGGTAAGTTCCAATTAGAAACTGGTGCTCCATGGGGTTCCTTTTAGGTGTCACTAACATATCTGTATCATGGCACCAGGCCCCGATACCACAGGTTTCTTCGGGACTCAAAGAGTTCAAGAAGTCAAGGGCAACGGCTGCCCGGTATCTCTCACTGGACGAAATTTCACCAGGCAAGACGTCACTTAGGTCCAATGCATTAACCATTAGATATGTAATTAATTCCAACACATTTTGATGGCTGCCGCTCTTGTTTCTGAATTGTTTACTTAATTCATTAATACAGAGTAGTATCTTGTTACAACCTCTTGATCTATGACGAAACTAGTGTTGAAATACATCTTATTTGACTGGCTTGGAACGTTAGGCACCTCTCGTGTTTTTTGAACCCGTCGCCAAATAGCAATCAACAGTACTCATTTGTTCTGTCAGGTGACAAACCTCGAAGACCGAAATTCGGTGACATCTACTTCCTTTTTTGGCATTGTCAAGTTGCACGTTTGGAGATCTCACCGCCTTGAGAAAATTTAAAAATATGTCAACTTGACAATGCAAATATAAGAAAGTGTCCACTGACATTTTGCATTGTGCAACGCTCAGGCGGCGCACAGGGCACGCCGGAGCGAAGCGCCTCGGCAGGGCATAAGGGCTGATATAAAAACACACGCTAATACGCTCTCAATCACAGGAACAAGGAGATGGAGATCTGCACCTCGGCTCGGGCCCTATTTTAGCAAGGAGTAACGCCTGTTTGTCCTCCGCGTGTTCGATGCCCGCCGCGTCAAAAGCGAACTCGAAAGACATCTTGTAGGTGGCCCATTCAATAGACCCGTCCGTTGGGAATTTGTCGTGCCGAAAGGCACGCATATCTTCCGGGGCTGCTCGTGTCATTATTACGTTAGGAAACAACAACGCCAGAGAATATTCGCTAAGTTCCCAGGCCATAAAACGCAGGTAAACAAGGTTTGTTTACCGGGGAAGAAACGAGCGCCACTTACTTGAACAGACGGGATGGCCGGCTTGAAAATCTGTAGGCACGTGGATTCGATGCACTACGATGAACTTCCTCGTCGCCAATTGCTGTAGTCTAACTCTGGTGTTGATTAGGAGAGGGAAATAACTCGTACAACGGTTTGCGTGAGACTGGCTCCAGAACACCGCAGCAAAGCAAGAGTGGAGGGGGGAGAGGCGTGTCTTCCATTTGCGACCCGGCGCCAGACCAGATTGGGCCCGATGGGACCCCCTGTGCGAGACTACTACGCCGCGCGGCGCACCGCCGCATATAGCAGAAGGCGGTGCGCCAGGTTGCAGAGGAATAACTGACGCCTTCGTTCCCGCGCTTCACTATGGCTTTTACTTCTGATTCTGAATTTAGGCTTTAAAATGGAAAACATTACGCAAGATCGTCAAGTAAGTTTCATTTTTCAACATTTTAATGGATCGGTTTCATCATTTTAAATGGGTTGCCTCCATTACACTAATTTTAGTTCGTTCTTCTCGGTCTTTCGCGAGTCACTGGCAATGAAAACCTCAAATTTCTGTAGTTTCTCATGGGAGTAGAGTTAAACAGTATTTTTATCATTTATGTATGGTTATTGTGTTTCAGATTGTCCAAAGCAATGCTAAGAAAATTATTATCCTTCGCACTGGGAAGAATGGGTTGCCCCTCAAAGAAGGTGCACGGACAACGACAGCTGTAAGAATGCCTAAGTACATTTTACCCTTGTCTCATTTGCACCCACCCCTGGTTCATTCTCTGTGTTGCCTCTTCTCAGGGTTCTTCTATCACCAGACAGCCCTTATCTGTTCGGAGATATAGCCAGAATGTGTTCTCCGTTAAAGGACCTGTTGCTGCTGTAAGAATTTGCTTACTGGAGTAACTCTCGCTGATGATTATCCAGCTTGGCTACGAGGTCTTCAACAGGCTCTACGTAAATCCTCATATGTTTTCGGAGGTCACGTTTAATTACAGGCTGGAACATAAAATTGGAGTGGACCTGTTGCTGCTGTAAGAATTTGCTTACTGGAGTAACTCTCGCTGATGATTATCCAGCTTGGCTACGAGGTCTTCAACAGGCTCAACGTAAATCCTCACATGTTTTCGGAGGTCACGTTTAATTACAGGCTGGAACATAAAATTGGAGTGGACCTGTTGCTGCTGTAAGAATTTGCTTACTGGAGTAACTCTCGCTGATGATTATCCAGCTTGGCTACGAGGTCTTCAACAGGCTCTACGTAAATCCTCACATGTTTTCGGAGGTCACGTTTAATTACAGGCTGGAACATAAAATTGGAGTGGACCTGTTGCTGCTGTAAGAATTTGCTTACTGGAGTAACTCTCGCTGATGATTATCCAGCTTGGCTACGAGGTCTTCAACAGGCTCTACGTAAATCCTCACATGTTTTCGGAGGTCACGTTTAATTACAGGCTGGAACATAAAATTGGAGTTAGTAAAAATTTGCAACACATAAACAATACATAAATGACATAGTTACCACTTTCTTCAATATGGCCACCCAATCAACGACTGAAACCGCCAGCATCTCTACCAGATACTCGTGTATCCTGTCGGTGTACTTGAAAGCCGCCTGCATCGCGTTGCTCCGTCGTGGGACGCCCAGCCTGGGATTTTGTTTGGAGAAGCAACAGCTTTTCTAGATCGGCCGGGCGGGACAGGCGGGACACCTAAGTTGGTTGTCAGGAGTACGTGCCCGAGTCCATGACGCTGACCGTGCCCAAGGTGCGCGTCGTGCTGGAGCTGGAGGCGGACATGAAGTGCACGCCGCTGGTGCTGGTGCGCGCGGCGGCCGAGACGCACGTCAAGGACTGGTCCACGCAGCTGCACCTGCGCACCGAGCTGCAGCTGCAGGCGTCCTACTTCAACGGCGACCTGGGCGCGTGGGAGCCGCTCGTCGAGCCCGTCGTCGAGGCCGAGAACGTGTTCCGGCCGTGGGAGCTGCAGGTGCGGCTGTTCCGCGCCAAGGCCTTCCCGATCAGCAGCCGCCTGGACTCGGTGACCGAGGGGGAGGGGGAGGGCGACGGCCCGCGCAGGGCCAGCAGCCGCAAGCGCAGCAACGCCAGCCAGCACTCGCAGACCTCCGGCGAGGAGACCGAGCCGGAGCACAGCATGACCTTCATCAGGAGGCCGCGCTCCGACTGCGGCCAGGAGGGCCAGATCAAGGGTACGGGCCAAAACCTTTTTTTTTTAAGAAACGAATCGGAAATAAGCAGATACGCGATGACGGACCTGTGTGCTTGCAGAAACTATGAGCATGGCGAGCCACCCCGACGACTCGGACTCGGAAGACGAGGACGGCGTCATGGAGAAGCTGGCAGGGGCCATCGGCTACCTCTTCTCAGGGTAAGAAGCTTGCCTCAAAGCCGTCGACGAAAGGCAACGACGGAATGAGTATAAAATGTGCGGTGCAACCTCCAGGGACAGCAGCGAGGGCGAGGCGAGCGAGTCGGACGAGTCCAGCATCGCGGAGCCCTCCGGCGCCACGGAGGAGGCCTCCGAGATGGAGACGCCCAGCGCGGGCGGCAGCACCGTCATCGGCAACCAGGAGAGGGCTGTGTTCCTCACCAAGCACAGTGAGTGGGCCTTTACCGCACGTCAGAAAGATAACCGCCTTGGAGATTACTGCCTTCAAGACAACTGCCCTCAAGACAACTGCCCTTGCAACTGCCTTAAATATTGCTCGGTTTTGCAGGTGACTCTGTGGACTCGGGCCTGGAGGCCGAGCCGGTCGAGCGGCACTCCAACTACCTGCTGGTGCAGGCCAAGGACCACCTGGAGCTGACCGTCACCCCGGCGGCGCTGCGGGTGCTGGACCGGCTGCGTGCCTCCTTCAACGTGGACCCCGTCAACAACAACCTGGGCTCGCCCTACCCGCCGCTCAGCCTCAACAACAACCTGGGGCTCGGCAGCACGGCCGTGCTCACCACCAAAGCTGAGGTACGCAGCGCGGCAGCGCGCCGACGGCACGGCGCCGACATGCAGGCGGGACTGTTCTAAAGGCCACCTTTCCGTCAACAGAAGGGCCCGGACGGCGCCGACAAGGTGCTGGCCAAGGCCCCCGACGATGAGTCCGACTCCCTCCCCGGCAGCCCCCACGCGTCGCCGCACCACCACAAGTACCTGGACTACGACATCAACCTGTACTCGGGTGACGGCGCCGAGGCCGACGTGTTCTACTGCGACGCGTCCCACCAGGACCAGGACCTGTTCTCCCCCGTCATGAAATTTCCGCCCGACACCATCAGCGACCTCTACAAGAAGATCACCGACCTTCGCCTCACCGTCAGTGTGGAAGGTCCGTGGGGGAGGGGGGGGGGCACTGCGAAGCCAGAGCTCGGTCCTTTACTTATCAGTATGTTTGTGCAGGGCTCGACCCCATCCAAGTGCTGTGCCCGCGACGGAGCTGCAGCAAGCTCCACGCGCTGCTGCCCGCGCGCAACAACATCCGCTGTTGCAACTTCAGTGCCAGAGCCTGATTTTCCTTTACCACTTGATCAGAATTCTGCAAGAAAGGCAGAACAAATGTGTAAACAATTAGACATCTAAAATAAGACTGAAAAAAATACACCATCCATTACCATTTTGAGAAGCACATTGTTGTTTTCCAGATCTGCCAACGCCTCTGAAATCTTTTGATCTTCCTTTAAAGCTTGTTCAGTCTCAGATCTGCCAACGCCTCTGAAATCTTTTGATCTTCCTTTAAAGCTTGTTCAGTCATAAGTTTCTCAGTTAGATGAGCAATTTTCTCATTTAATTCATTCTGCAGAGCCTCTTTCTGATTAAGTTCCTGTTGCAACTTCAGTGCCAGAGCCTCATTTTCCTTTGGCAATTGATCAGAATTCTACAAGAAAGGGAAATGTGTAAACAATTAGACCTCTAAAATAAGAATGAGAAAAAAAACCACAATCCATTACCATTTAGAGAAGCACATTGTTGTTTTCAAGTTCTGCCAACGCCTCTAGACGATCTTTCTGTCAAACACAAAAGGCAGAAAATATAATGAATTTGGGACAAAAATGTAATCTTCTAAAAACAGAACGAGATTTTATCACCTCTCCTTGCAGCACCCCAAGATCTTTAATGCGTTGATCCAAAATCACTTTCCTACTATTATGGATGTCAATGAGTAAGGCTTGCTTTTCCAGTTCAATTTTATGGATCTGAGAGGATAAAAGAGTGTTTGATTTTGACAATTAATCATTTCTTTTTCTAATACACTCAACACAGAACCAATCATCCATATCCTCCGCTACAAGAACAAACAATGTGAACAGCAATTGTTGTATAAGAAGGCATTATCACAAAAAGAGATTTTCAAGAAATTTGGAAAGGAAAAAATTGTGTGCAACTAACCTTCCTGTTTTGAAATGCCAGCACAAGAGCCGTACAACCATAAATCACATGAATCACATTGAATCATAAATCTAAGGACAAGAAATTGTAACATATTACAAAAGAAAGAGCTTGTTTTGGCGTATTGCAACTGATTTAAACATACCCATCATCAGGCGTAGTGCTTTCCTTGGATTTATTCTTTGATCCGGCCATGGCTCATAACCACATTAAATAACACAATGGAAGAGAACAGAAATAAACCGTACAACCTTAGAAAATACAGGCTTTCGGCCAAGAAACAGGTACGCGCTTACAAAATTGAGCGGGAGCGTGGGCGTGCATCACAGCGCACTCTGAAGGGCGTTGCCAGGACTTTGCGTAGTCTCGCACAGGGGGTCCCATCGGGCCCAATCTGGTCTGGCGTCGAGAAGGTGGTCGCAAATGGAAGACACGCGGGGGAGAGAGGAGTAGAACTATGAGAAATTTATGGGTCATAGCAGACGCTATACTCATGAGCGATTCTCACGTTTGGGGGTAGTTTCGTTTCTTCTGACTCCTGTGCCCAAACGAGCGCAGATATCGACATGGGGTTTGTTTCTGATGTTAGGGAGGGCCATTACCCACTAAACGCACACATTTCGAAAAGTTCACGTACGTTGGATTGGTCTCCCTAGCGTTAGGAATACCCTAAATGTAACTTCCGTGACTGTCCCAAGAGAACACACTCGCACTTTCAGCCCCCAGTGTGGCGGAGTGGTTCGAAAATGCTGCCAACTGTCGATGGAAATTCGAAGCCTGGCATGTCTCGAGCTAATTTTAACCAAAAACAATACGCCAGACTTCTTTCAAAGGTACTTATGCTGCGACGAAAAATGTCCACCGTATATTCAATTTTACTAAACAAATTTTGAAAAGGCAGCTCTGGACCTCTCCCCACGCCAAACTTTTAACTTTCCATGACATTAGTCATTAAAGTGGAGTCCCTGGGATATAATTGCTTGGGTCGCGGAAATCTAAGATGCTCAACACGGTCTCAAAGCGGGCTAGAGCATTATAAAATGGCGTGTATCAACAATTACCTGTCCGTGGCACCCTTTACCCAATGTTGCAGCAGCACTACGTGAAAAAAATTTCCGCTTAAATGTCGGTCTTAGAGTATCATTTGACCCTGGAACGACTAATAAGCCACAGCCAGCCCGAGACAGCCGTTTAAGCCGATTTTCACACTTTGTAACTTCCGTGATAACGTTATTTCCGTGATCAAAACACCCACTTAACCGTATGGGAATACATTAGGGCTAATGTTTTTAGGAAGGTAGTACAAGGTCTTTACTAAAAATATCATTGCCATTACTCTAGCATCACTAAGGACACCAATAATGAGAAAAACTAAATTGGATATTTCTCACTTTCGGCAAATCAGAGACGTCAAAACTACCCCGAAACGTGAGAATCGTTCTCATAGCGTTTGAATTCTCAGTGAACACAAATAACATTTGATAGACACAAAATGGAAAATAAGTAGGCTGTCTTATTACACATAAAATGATTCAGAAATAACTCTTATTTTTAAATTTTTGGCTGAGCGACAACGAAGCTCTTGCCGTGTTTGGGCGCGCTGAAAAGTAACTGGTCGTGCGTCTGTCTGTCTGTGACTTTGTACTCACCAACGATTCTCAGCAACTACAGTGGCTATAGTTCCTACATTTCGTAATAAATTTCGCCTTAATTCCCCCTAACACGAGTTTGTTTCAAATCGTGGTTTAGTATTGTTTGAAATATTCAAAACATATTTTTGAATCAGGTCATTAGCATGGTTAGGTTGGCAGCGTTCACCAATTTCTCATACCTGCGGCCGCGGCTCTCATAGACGAGACATAAGCAAATACACTCTCAGACTCGTATTGACTTTTTATCTTTTGCCATAAAGGTTTTTGTGCAAACGTAATATGTACTATTTTCTCTTTAAAAGCCAATTGGCTATTCACTATTTTGTTCGTTGTATAATGTTTATAGTCCATTAAACCGGACTTACAAGGGAACCTATTCAGGGGGTACACTCAGATTTCGACCAAACTTTTTTTTTTCGAAAGAATGACATATAAGATTAAGAATGCACCCCAAAGTTGGTGCCAAGATACATGTCCACACCCCTCCTGACTTTTTTAAACCGAAAAAAGGGGTAAAATGGCCCATGTTTTTACATGCAACGAGCAGATTTTCGGTCGTAAATTGGGCAGTCGCACTAAATTTGTGCAAAATATGATAATATATGAAACAGACCAAAATTTTCTCTCATTTTCGTCACAAGGGGACCAAACATTGAAGGAAATGACAAAAAACTCGACTTCAAATTTTCCGATTCGATGTCCGAAAATGACCCATACACTGCAAAAAAGCTTATTTTACCCCTTTTTTAGGTTTTAGAAAATTGGTAAAGGGTGTAGATATATATCTTGGCACCAACTTTGAGGTGCATTCTTAATCTTATATGTAATTCTTACGAAAAAAAAAGTTCGGTCGAAATCTGAGTGTACCCCCTGAATAGGTTCCCTTGTTAATGTCATTTGCAATGTACTTTTCAATTTCTATATGCTCTATTGACAATTATATCCCTAAAACGATCAAAATTGTGCTTAGTTAAGAAGGAAATAGTTCATTTTACGTTTGCTCAAAAACCGCTATAAGCAAGAGAGAAAAAAGTCCATATAGGTCTGAGCGTGTAAGCAAATAAAATAAAGAGCAGAAGGATTTGGAAACGAGATAGGCCTTTGTTTTTCAACATTCTAGAATGATTAAAAACCTTTTGGAGTATCAACGCTGCGAAATATGGAGAATGTAAGTGATAATGATTTACGTCCTTCGTTCCCCTCTGCCCCCTCCCCCGTCAGGGAATCATCTTCAGTTCAGTGCACTTTGAGCATTGCAAACAAGGATGTTTTTATTTTGTCCTTTTGTATTGTGTGTATCTATTTATTTCATTTTCTCAAGTGTCATCCTCTTGTTTTAAATATTCACAGTAGAAGGAGATCAGGAAAATGCATAAATAACTTGTGTTGAAATTAGCAGGCATTACTTGGTTTTTTCTAGTGCACGCCTGGCAGGCACAAACTCTAAAACGCCTCCATTTCAAATCAACAATAAGATGGTAGAGAGTTTTCTTTCTATTGGTTCAGGTCATGCGGGAATGGAACGCCTGTGTATTGTGATGAGTATGAATGTAATGAGTACACTGTCATTCATCTTGCGATACTTCTACTACAAATTTTTGCGATAAAAACGAGCCCAGAATTTTTGCGATAAAAGAGCGTTTTGTAGTAACTTTTATCACAATTTTTCCTGCGATAACTTTTTATTGCATTTTTATTACGTCTACAATACAAATTGAGGGCCCCGCCGCTGCAAGCGCGGATTCAGAGGAAGGGGGAAAGAAGGACGGGCATAAGGACGCTTGACCCCCGGACCCCTTGAAAGTTGCCTTCAAGGTAGGAAAAAAGCGACGCTTGGCCACTGTAAGTAGGCTAAAAGTGCCACTTCGCCCCCACCGCGAGGCATGCGGGATCCGCCATTGCTGCCTGGCGGTTCAGGCCAGTCCGTGTGCCTCCCGGAGCAGGTCGGCGGCGCGCTCCGCCACCATGATGGTGGGCGCGTTGGTGTTGCCGCTGGTGAGGGTCGGGAACACGGACGCGTCGGCCAGCCGCAGTCCGCGCACGCCCTTGACGCGCAGCCTGGCGTCCACGACGGCCTCGTCGTCGTCGTCGCGGCCCATGCGGCACGTGCTCACCCAGTGCCAGATGGTGGCCGTGGTGGAGCGCGCGATGCAGCGCAGGTGCTCGTCCGAGCCGAACTCGAGTGCTCTGGAATGGCCAATGGGATGAAGTTGAAAAGCTTACAGAGTAAAGTACTGCCACTGGCAGAGGGAATTTGACCACCCCGGACCACGGACCAAGGCATCTGCTGGAGACGGCCGGGGTGGTCGGATTCCTTTGCAAGTGGTTACATGTAACCCGCAGACTGCGAACCGGCCTTCATAAGCCTTCATACGAAAAACGAGGTGTACCAATACACGGTAAAAACGGTACCTGGTTTTCCCAGGAAGCCTATGGTAGAGACATAGGCGATTTCCAGGGAGTTCCTGGGAAAACCAGGTTCCGTTTTGACCGTGTAGGTTAAAACCAGTAAACCGTTCAAAGAGTTTCGAGAACTGGTCAAGGTGATGGCCTAGGCCTTCGTAAAGTATCCAAAAATCTTTTGGGCTGAAACGTCCCCTGTAACTTTACTTCCCTAGCGTGTGCGAGGTGCTAAGAAGAAGCGCCAGCATGTGCCCGACCCTCTCTTAACAGTCGCTGTTTTCTGCTGATAAAACAACTGAACGTTAAGATTTTTAATATCGAACTAATGTTTTTGCATAGCACTTTTGAGCATCTCCCGCAACTTCCCATCTTGACTTGCCAAAAACCACAAAGCATTTTTTCCGAAACATCAATTCACTAGTACTTGGCTTTGTGAACATTTCCCGAGGAACATAGTACTTATGCTGCCAAGGACGAAACGTATAACTTTCGAATGAACAGGTACTCGTTGTGCGGAAGCTTGCCCAGATTTTCTGAAAGGCCGACTTTGTCAATTACCTGCACTTGGGCGCATATTTGGTCGAACGGTCCAGTCGAAGACCCAGCTTCTGTAGCGGAGCCTCCATGCGCAGTCCCAGTTTGAACGAGTCCACGAGTACGGCTATGTCCCGGTCGCCCTCGTCCGTGAAGTAGCCCAGCCGCACCACAGGGGGGCCGCTGGGGTTGGTGGCGTTGAGGCGCACGCTGCCCCTGCTGCGGGGGTGTAGCAGGACGGGCATGTAGACGACGCGGTTGAAGCGCCACGGGTCGTTTGCCAAGCAGCTGAGGGCACGGATCAAGGCGAGTTGGCACAAGGTACTTGAAACACTTTCAGTGTACACTTCAAATTTCCCATCGAGAAATGCATCAGTCATTATACTGAGCTAATACTCAGTAATTTGCGACACAAATCTATCACAATACAGAGAAATTTATTCGTAGTACAAGGTAGGTTTACGCCAGACCGCGTCTTGTCGTAACAGGCTTCGCGATGTCTCGCGGCCTGTTCCTCCAATCCGCGCCTGGCGTACCTACCTTGGCCTGCGGCGCTAGCCTGCCTTCGGCAGGCAATGCTTGCCCATCATCAGTTACTTCTGATTTGTTGCATGCTGGGGGGCCCCGCCCCCAGACCCCCCTTTACTCTTTATAGACTTGCTTCATCTACAAATTACACGACCTTCACCCTTGTAACTTTTCAACTTGTCAGGTTGGGGGCTCCGCCCCCCAGACCCCCCTTTTATCAAGACAGGAGGAGTCTACCACCTGAAAACTCGATTTTTCGCAATTTTTTAGGTGTTTTTCGGCTATAAAAACTGAGCCAGTTGAGTTAGGAAAGTGAAATTTCGCGTGTGCCGAGCCAAGAACATACCTAATGAGCCTGCAAAATCTCAGCCAGATCGGCCGAGCCGTTCAGGAGGAGTAGTGTACACACACAGACAGACAGACAGACAGAAAAAGTTTTTCAACCCCACTGGAGTAACAGGCTTCGCTATCGCTCAGCCAATGAAGAAATTGGTCGTAAGTTAATGAGAACCTTTCACGGTGGGTTACTACCTTCGCTCGCTGCACAATCATAACACTAAGCTTTTTTATTACGAAGAAAAAGCTCAGTACGATATTGGGAGTGTAATCAACAGATTCACCGAAAATTCAGAAGGGTGGGGCAGTTCGTAACAGAATTTGGAGTTTTCACCCACAAATAGCCAGCCATTTTTGCAGACCAACATACTCACTTCAAATGAAAAGGTGTTATTTCAGTTCCTGTTTCGGGTCCGACTAAGAAACGCCCGAGGGCAGTGCAGAAAATCTTTGTAGTACTGCCAAAATTGGGTATTAAACTTTGTACAATCCAAAGGGACTTGTTCATTGTTAATTGCTAAGTTTTTGCGATGCGTTTGGGAATCGACGTTTGGAAGGATAGGCTTTCGGTACGGCCACTCGTCCGAATACACAATTGAATCTCCGAAAAAGATACTCAAGTATCGCCTTGCCTTCAGATTTGTAACTATCATCGAAATAGAATGTCACTGGGCCCCCGTTCCGTCAATGTGGCCGTTTGTTACGAATGCGAACTATGCTACCACCGTTCCCTTTTGAGCTACACCCGCGCGAAGCGCCGTACGGGTAGAGAGTCCTAGTCCTCACCGTGTCCCGTTGCTATCCTCGTCGACGCCCATGAAGACGACCTGCACGTCGGGCTGTTTGGCGGGCTTCCCTGTGCCTTCCGGTGGCGGCGGGTCCAGCCCCGTCCGGAGGAAGGCCCCGATCTGCACCAAGCTGGTCTCGGAGAGCGGTCCCTGCCGCAGCGCAGCGTACTGCAAGAGGTCCCTGCGCCGCAGCTTCCAGTCCACCTCGCAGAGCGGAGGGGCGCACTCGAACTCGAGGCCGGGCACGCGGGGGTGGTCCTGGAGCCCCTCGCCGACCGGCAGGTCCACGAGGACCGGGATGTTGGCAGCCTGGAACCGACGCGCTCACGATACGGTACCTGGTTTTCCCAGAGAGCTTATGGTAAAGACCTAGGCAATTTTCAGGAGGTTCGTGGGAAAACCAGGTACCGTTTTCATAGAGTTGGCACTCAACACGCTCTCAGCACGTAACTGACTTCTTTTCGTTCTTTTTGTCGAAGTACGTATTCGTATAAGCCAGGATAATACTTAGTATTTTGTAAGTAAGTATGATTTCCTTTGTAAAATTTTTCCGAAAAACGAATTTTTAGTACAATGTTCAATAAGTCGTAGGTTGTTATTCAAGGAACGACATGTCGACGCATTCCAAATAGAATAATCCTAATTCTCAGAGCAGATCCAAGACAATCCTACCTAACTGCAGAGGTGCCTAACCGTGTCCATCCATGAACTATCTTCACTGCAAATCAGTGAATCTCGATATCTTTGATATACACCATGTCCTCGTATTTATATAAGGACGAAACTTTGTGACAAGTCGGTCGGAGAGTAATTTTATGGAGTACGTTGCCGTCACGGACTTTCAGAAAAGGTCTCTTTTCACGTGATGTATAGTTTGGATAGTTTTGCATTGACACTAACAGTTAGGATTCTCTTGGATATGCTCTTATAGTTAGGATTGTCTTGGATCTTTTCTCGCAGTTAGGATTATTCTACTAGGACGCGTAGATGTACGTATTAGGGCTGCATACAAATTACTTGCACAAGTACTGACAAAATGAGCACTCATAATTCCTAGCACGTGTTGGTTCTTTCTTTAAATGGTGCATAAATCTTGCCAGGCAAGGTGATGAGGGTCGCTAAGAGGGTGGTTATCGATTACTCACTTTCAGTTCGTCTGCCGGCCCGATGCCGGACAACATCAGCAGGTGAGGTGTGCCGATGGCTCCGGCCGTCAAGATGACCTCCCTGTTGGCTCTCGCGAAACGGACCTGGTGTGCGACAGTGTATCAGTTTATCATAGAGTCAAAACAGAGCACGCATCAATCGAAAAAACTACTTATGTACTTTTATTGTCCATAGCTATGGCCGTTTTTGTGCATACGGAAGTTTTGTACAAGTTTTCACAATTAGGGACAATATTTCTATATAGTACGCAAGTATTTTAAAAATTGTACCTAAGTTATGAACAAATTTGTTCCTAACTTCAGTATGCACAAAAACGGCCATAGTTATGGACATGAAGTCCATAAGCATTAGTGTGTGCTGTGCGGCTCTACTTGGTGCCCACGATCGAACATTAAAACAAAGCACGTCAGTTCGGCTTCGTGTGAGGAAGCGGCGGGTGAATGATTGCATTTTCGCCGAGGGGCAAGAGACTGATTTCGTGACAGCTGGATTACGGATTATACCTAGAATGCCAGTGGTTGAAACCAGTTGGCTCCGGTTACGATCAAATTATTTTTCAGGATTACCCTGGTTCGCACTTAACAGTGTGAGTTTGTCTCACACATTTGCGGTGTTCCTGCCACTGGCAAAAAGGTACGGAAAATTCTGTAAATTTTTTTGCCAGGATTCTCCGTAGCCCTCTTATCAATATTCTCCGCAGGCTCTTACAGCTTTCTCCGTAGGACCGCACAGTCCTCTCCGTACACTGTGCGAAAAAAACAGTGAATCCCGTTATTTTTTTTGCCGGGATTCACTGAAATTCAAAGGGTGAGACATCTCACCAAGTTTCGGCGATACAAAATGTATCACCGAAAAAAAGGTCGTACACGAATGTATCACCGAAAAAATGGTCGTACACGCATGCATCACCGAAAAAAGGGTCGTACAAAATAGTATCACCGAAAAAACGGTGAGACATCAGCGAGATTGGACCTTGTTTTCCTGGGGAAGTATCAACCTTTTTTCGGTGACACATTAGTGTACGACCTTTTTTTCGGTGATACATGCGTGTACGACCTGTTTTTCGGTGATACATGCGTGTACGACTATTTTTTCGGTGATACATGTTAGTATCACCATTTTTTCGGTGAGACAGTTATGTCTCATTCCTCAGAGAGTGAGATGTATCACTATTTGATTTTCAGTGTTTACTGTAGTTCAGAACACAGGATTTACTGTGCCTGGCCACAGTATTTACTGTACCTGGTACAGGATATTCCGTACTCCCCTCCCGTACAAACTAGAGTAGATCTCGTTAAAAAGTACAGTAAATCCTGTACTCTGAACTACAGTGACAGCTGTACTACAGGATTTATTGTGAATTTTTTCCCACAGTGTAGGACCGACCTGGAAGACTGCACAGTCCTACGGAGAATACTGACAAGGGGGCTACGGAGAATTACCACAAGCTGTTTACAGAATTTTCCGTAGCTTTGGCACAGTGTGGGAAAACTAGGAACCGTTTGTGGCGCCCGTTCCTCACTTTGCCCGCGGCGTCCCGGTACTCCACCCCCGCAGCCCTCCGCTCCGGCCCTTCCAGCACGACCCTGGTGGCGGTGGCGTAGGTGAGGACTTTCAGGTTGGGGCGACCCAGGGCGGGCTGGAGGTAGCCTCGGTACGCGCTCCACCGTTCGCCGCCCGAGGTGGTGGTCTGGATCAAGGAGTAGCCCAACTGCCCCTCCGCGTTGATATCCAACCGGAACGGCTCACCTAGGGATGGAAATGCCGGGATATAGTTTCCGATTAAATTGGATAAAAGCAACAGGGTTTTTCTGTGTTTGACGGAAGGGCGGACCCCAGCTTGTCCTTATTTTCAGACAGTCTCCCGGCAAGTTCCCGGAAAATTGTAATCTTTAGGCTCACCGGCGGCTTCCATGGCCTCGGCCAGCAGCGGGATGACCGGGTGTCGGTACGGCTGCCAGGACACGCGCAGGTGGCCGCTGGTTGAGTGGTACTCTAAAAAGCAAATTGTGGAACTGTAAAAACAAATTGTGGCCCTCACAAAAAAGGAAGAGTATTCAATAAACAAATTGTGGTATTTAACGAAGCACATCGTGGTTGTCGTAGGAACTGTGCGCACCAAAGAAACAATGTTGTGTATTCTAATAAACGGTTTACAGCACAGGAGATTTCCTTAAAACAAATTCAAAGTTGTAGATGCATATAAAAGAAAGGTTTCTTTTTGGCGTGGTTACAGTTACGGAATAACACGTTTTTAACATTCCAAAAGCAAAAGTGTTATTTGATTATCAGGAAGTTATGGCACCTAACGCTAACGTGCACGGTTGGAACCGTTTTAAATATTTTTTCTGGACCGCAAACAAGCAGCGTAACTATCTTGCGACCTGAACAACTCACTTGTATCTGCGGCGATGCTCGCGTCCATGTTTTTCTCGGCTCTCTTGAAGTACGGCAGCACGTTCTCGTAGTTCCAGCTTGGGTCCCCTACCATGGTGGCCCAATCGTCATAGTCCACTGAGCTTCCACGCACGTACATGACGGCGTTGATGGTGCTGCCGCCACCGAGCACCTGCGGCACTGTGAGCTGACAGCCCGTCCCGTTGCAGTTCGCGGCTTCCGGCACTCCCTGGAACGAGGTGCCAACCCGCATGCGACCATTATTCATTGCACAAAAAGCACTACTGGTAGCGTCGAAACGGCAGGTTAAGTGTTTCGTGTTGTTTGCCCACAGACCAGGCTGCAGCAAATTTGGGTGCTATGTTGAAACATTGCATTGAAACAGAATCGCGGACTATTATGTAGTCTTGGGTCAGGGGCGTGCAAAAGTGCGGGGAAGAAAGGGAGGGGGGAGGGGGATACTGTCCCACTTCGAAGTGCTTCTCAGGCCACGCGGCTGGTTCCTTTTCCTTCGATACTGTGATATGGTTTCAGTATCAGTTATGCAAGCTCCAGAAAAGGATTTCAACTGACAGGAGTATTGGTATTTTAAAGTATTTTATCTTGAAGTGAATCGGAGTTACCAACACGTCAAGGAACAGCGTTTTCTTACCGTGATGTACTCCGCGATGTTCGCTCTGATGTTGGCGGTCATGAAGGCGGGCACTCTGGAAGCGAAGGGCTCCGTGCCACCGCGCTCCAGCAGCAGCACCTTGACGTCGGGGTTCTGGGACAGACGCTCCGCCAGGACGCAGCCCGAGGAGCCGCCGCCGACCAACACGAAGTCGTACTCCTCGTCGCCCGTGACTGTGAGCTGCTCGGCTTGTCGCTGCCTGGGGTTGTTCGATATATCGAGGTTGATATAACGATACATCGAGGTCAATATCATGATATAGTATATAGGTCGATATCACGATATCTCGAGGTTGATATCACGGTATATCGAGGTCAACAAGATGTATCAAGGTCGACATCACGATGTATCGAGGTTGATATCACACTCTCAGCACGTTACTGACTTGTTTCTCATTAATTACGTATTCGTTTAAGTTACAATTATACTTGGCATTTTCTGAGAAGGTTTGACTAATTTCGTTTGTAAAATTATGTACAAAACCATAATGTCAGTATTTAGTCAGTATATAGTGTTTGACATTTCTTAAGTAGTTCCTTGAAAAAGATAAAACACGTATTATGGTTGCACAAATTACATGCATAAGTGAGCAAAAAGTCAGTAACGTGCTGAGAGTGCATGATATATCGAGGTCTAACGGTATGTCAATAAAGCCGATATCAAGATACCAATATCGCGATGCCTGTATCGAGGTTGATCTTACGATGTATAGAGGCCAACACTACTGTGTGGAGGTCCACCACCATATATCGAGATCGGTATCGCGATATATCGAATAATCCAATACCAAAACAATATCACGACATATCGAAGTCAATATCACCCTAAGCGGCAGCCTGAGGGGAGGAGGGGGCACAAAGTAGCACTTGCTGCCTACTTGCAGGGACAAAATGTTGCCGTTTTCTACCTCGCAGGCGGTTATCAAGGGGTCAAAGGGTCTATTGTCGTTGACCTCGTTCAATATACGGTTGATTGGACGTCGCAGAGCCCTACCGCTGCCGGAACTCCTTCTCCAGGCGCTGGTTCGTCACGTTCACCAGCAGCGTGAGGAACGTCACCAGGGGCGTGCCCACGCATGCCGCCGGGTACGGCACCGCGGGGTGGGTGACGGAACCGGTGAGCTGCATCGTCTGTGGGGCCGACCGATCAAATTACATTCAGTTCGGCTCAACGACGGTCACATAGTGTGCTGTGCCTTAAATATCTCGCTTTAGTCTCTAGTAAAACTAACCCGAGACCAGCAGCAAGTCACGCTTGAATTGGTGGCATTTCACGGTTCAAACTCTAATCTTGTTGTTTCCTAGGATGTCAAATGAAGGCGAATTTTCCAATGTGCGTTCATTTGGCATCGATTGGAGAGACAACGGACATAACCTTTTCTAAAGGCACGACTGGTTTCCTCTGATCGTTTCCTCGTCAGGTCGGAGTGGAGTGCAAGTGGATTTGATATGTCTCCAAGCTGCCTCAAACCATCAAACTTTGAGAAATTCACTCGCATGCGAGGTGCAGTGCATTTACTCGGAAACGAACAGATAGAAAAATATACTTCGCCACGGAACGATCTTTTAAATGAGAAACAGTAATAAGTGGGTGGTCCACCATTGAAATATGCCTTTCGCCGGTAAGTGCCTGAATGAAATATTATGGTGCCGTCAATTTCTTCTTCTGTGAGATAATACTACAATCCGGAACAAGTCCAACCATAGACCAAAAGTTGAAATTTCTAAGTTCAATTTTGTTGTGGTTTCTTGGGGCAAAAAGGCTGAGTAAAGTTGTTAAAATATTTCGTAGCAAAGATGAACCCAATCATGAAGTATGAGAGAGTCCGTGTAAGAAAACAGTGAAAACGAGGATGGAAAGTCTCAAACACCTACCTGCTGAGAAGACGCTGACAACAGCTGATCGCTGTGACTTTCAGCACAGCCCACAGATCTTCCGTCGAGAAGGCGCTGCGCGAAAGTGGCGCGCCATAGCGTGGATCGCGGCTCAAATAGCACGCCATGGCTTACCAAAGATTGCGCTGAGGTAACGCCGATTCTCGCTTATCTTGTTACCGTGCCCATCGCGGTGTAGAGTGACTCGGTGGCGGCACGGGTCCGCCTGGGCTGGTCCCAGAAAGGGGGACGGATTAGGGCACCCGCCTGCCAGCAAGGCCAACAACATACGAAGCTCGGGACGCATGGTGGATTTAGGCAGGCGTCAGCACTTCGGCTCACCCGCGTCGAAAACTGGCCCGAGAACCTGTCCCCGCTGCTTTCCTCCCGCATCGACTAGTCTTAAAACATTTATTTTAGGGGAAACGTGAGTTGTGCCGGATAGCCCACCAATCTTCAAAGGCGTTTTCATGGAAAATCAATTTCAGAGTTTTGACCATAAACGAACATTTTTCGGTCTTGTCCCCCCAGAGACGAGACGTTTAGAAAATGTACGTACACACTAAACCCTTCACTGCCCCCCGTTCACGTGCCTGGACACGTGCAAAGGGCGGATCCAGGCCGAATCGTCCCGGCTTCATCCCGACCCCTGCAGATTTGGCCCCCAATTATTAAGCACGAAGTAGCCTTATAGTATGCCCAAGATTCAGCGGGACCGATATTCAATTCGTGAGCGATTCTCACGTTTCGGGGTAGTTTCGTTTCTTCTGACTCCTGTGCCCAAACGAGTGCAGATATCGACATGGGGTTTGTTTCTGATGTTAAGGAGGGCCATTGTCCACTAAACGCACACATTTCGAATAGTTCACGTTCGTTGGATTGGTCTACGTAGCGTTTGGAATGCCCTAAATGTAACTTCCGTGATTGTCCAAAGAGAACATACTCGAACTTTCCGCCCCTAGTGTGGCGGTGTGGTTCGAAAATGCTGCCAACTGTCGATGGGGATTCGAAGCTTGGCATGTCTCGAGCTAATTTCAACCGAAGACCAATAGGCCAGACTTCTTTCAAAGGTACTTATGCTGCAACGAAAAATGTCCACCGTATATTCAATTTCACTACACAAATTTCGAAAAGGCAGCTCTGGACTTCTCCCTAAGCCAAACTTTTAACTTTCCATGACACAAGCCATCAAAGTGGAGTCCCTGGGATATAATTGCATGGGTCGCGGAAATCTAAGATGCTGTACACGGTCTCAAAGCGGGCTAGAGCATTATAAAATGGCGTGTATCAACAATTACCTGTAACTTCCGTGGCACCCTTTACCCAATGTTGCAGCAGCACTACGTGAAAAAAATTTCCGCTTAAATGTCGGGCCACTGTAAAAAATTCCGTACTTTTGTACGGAAATGGTGCAGAAAAATATAGTACGGAGGTACGGAGAAAAGTACGGAACGTTCCGTACTAGCTCCATATAAACCCATGTAAATAGGTACGGAAAATAGGTACGGAAAATAGGTACGGAACGTTCCGTAGTTTGGAAGTACGGACGGTCCAGGCAAATTATTGACCAGACATGTTCCGTACTTTTTTCTCACAGTGGCTTAGAGTATCATTTGACCCTGGAACGACTTTTAAGCCACAGCAAGCCCGAGTCAGCCTTTAAAGCCGATTTTCACACTTTGTAACTTCCGTGATAACGTAATTTCCGTGATCAAAACACCCACTAAAACGTATGGGAATACCTTATGGCTCATGTTTTTAGGAAGATAGTACAAGGTCTTTACTATAAATACCATTGCCATAACTCTAGTATCATCCAGGACCCCAATAATCAGAAAAACTTAATTGGATACTTCTCACTTTCGGCAAATCAGAGACGCCAAAACTACCCCGAAACGTGAGAATCGCTCACGTGCGGCCCCTTATGCATTTTGAAATACAATAGCTTTTTGATGGGATTTTGCAGACTAGGAGAACTTATAACGGTGATAATGTTCAAATATGGTTGAAAAGTAGCGACATGTACAGAGAAATTTGCCGTCAAAATCACTGTTTCCATAGACAAAATCAAAATTGTCTTTCACTGAGATCCAACAACAGCGTTGACGTTGTTTTCGAACGTGGCCATTTGGATCGGCCGGCCGGCCGGTCATTGACAAGAGTGTCCCGCACCGCTACCTTATTGTGTTTATTGTTGTTTTCAAGAATGCCAACTTCAAATTGATGTGGTCAATTTTCCGTAGCTTTTTGCCACAGTGGTGGAGGTCAACGTGGACACTCAAACACCCAGCAATGCGAAGCGAGTTATCCGGGATATGAGGGTAAGTGTACAGGAATGGAATTGTAGTTTGGAGTCTCACACTAAAATAAAACTTTTTTTTCAGTTCCCATAGCAGTTTCCTTGGCATTTGCAAATGCTTTTAGCTCAGCGATAGCGAAGCCCGTTACTCGGCTGGGGTTGGAAAATTTTTCATGTCTGTGTGTTTGTCCGCACTACTCCTCCTGAACGGCTCGGCCGATTCGGCTGAGATTTTGCAGGATCATTAGGTACATCCGTAGTTCACCCCTCACCAAAATTCAGCTGTCTATCTCAATCCATTCGGTCATAATAACCAAATAACACTTAAAAACAGCAGAAAAAAAGGCAACTTTTTAGGTTCTTTCAACTTTTTGTTAAGTTTCATCCCATGTTTATGAGTGTGTTGATGCCGAAAATACAACCCATTCTGACCCCTGACCCAAAGTTAAGTCCCATTAGCGTAGATGTTGATCACCAAACGCTATTTTTTTTGTGGGGATCACGCCAATTTTTACGGTTGGTCTTGGAAAGCAGCATGCCGAAGGCAGGCTAGCACCGCAGGTCAAGGTAGGTGTACTGTCGAAACAGTCGTAACATCGCGAAGCCTGTTACGACAAGGCACGGTCTGGCGTACACCTACCTTGTTAATAGAGTATTCTAGTCGTCGCCGATCGAAGAACAAGAAGAAGAACAAAGCCGGAACTGGCCCCGGCAACATAACCTCCCAGACTTCTCTGAGTGTGCCAGTTTCTGAGTTTTCTGTGTCGAATCTCTTTCAAAAGCACTTTCGTATGTTATAAACACTTTTTGGCTCAGGAAATAAAAATATTTGTCGACATTTCTCGTTGGAACCGGGCTTGATACCTACTCCGTTTCTTCCCGGCTTCCGGTTTTGTTCTTCTTTCGCTCTTCTTTATGTTCTTCGATCGGCGACGACTAGAATGCTCTGTTCAAGTTGTTTGAACTCATACTTCCTTTAACTTTTCAATTAGCCCTAGTCAAGATAAATAGAAGAAATTGAGATCGGCAAGACCACTAAAAAGCAAGGAAAGATAAGGAGAAATTAAATTGCTGCTGTAGTCGCTACGTGAGTTGGAGAGTAGGGCCAAAGAACAAGTCAACACGAAGGAGTCTGGTTTGGAACTGGCGAGATTCTGTCTAGAATGGGCCAGCGAGGAGGGGGGGGGGGAGGTGCCATATCGACAGAAGAGAATCGATGTATCGAAGTAGATGTGAGGATACAGCACCCCTCCCCCTTTACTGGACGACCCTAAATCCCACGTTTATTTAACAAAAATAATACTTTTTTTACAAATCAGTAATTAGAACTAAATATGAAACTGATTCAAGTCAGATAATGAAGCTTAATGCAAGCTGAGGTCCATAGGTAGGTATTGAGCGTGGTCCAGGCGTAGTTTTGCGGGTAGCGTCTTCTTGCGTTCCGGTCTTCTCTCTGGTTCCGCCTCTGGTGGTGGCCGAGTCCTGGCGGACCCTCCGCGGGGTCCCGCCTGGCTCGGCCGCCCACCGGGCCTGCTGTTACGCCCCCCCGGGCCGTCTTGACGGAGGTTTCTTTGACGTTCAGCAGAAGCGCCCCAGGCGGACCCTCCGCGGGGTCCCGCCCTGGCTGTCCCCGCCTCCTCCCCCCTGGAGTGACTGGACTTGTCATTTGAAGAGCCAGGCTGGGATAAGGGTTTGTGCCTCCTCCTCACATTCCTTAGCTGATTTCTTATCTTGCGCTCTTCGGGGGTGCGATCCTTGCGGCCTGTCGCGCCGCTCTCCTGTTGGTGATTGGGGCCGTGGCCGCGGCTGCCACTGTTGGAAGCCTGTCCCGCGGCAGCAGGGGCAGTGGATACAGTTCGGCCCGGGGCGGACCGCGACCTCACGGAGTCCTGCTGCGGCACCCGGATTATGATGGACTGTGGCCTCCCTCACTGAAAAACCAAACGTGGTCCAGACCGCACCATTGGTGTGGTCAAATGGATGCCATTTTGACCACATCAGTTGGTGTCATTTTGACCACATCAGTTGGTGTGGTCTAGACCACGTTTGGCCACGTTTGGTGCGGTCTAGACCACGTTTGTTTTTTCAGTGCTGTCGGCGTTGTTTGCGGGGCTGAAGTCCGTGCTGGCTGGGGGTGTCCTTCCGGCGTGAGCAGGGGGGCATACCCGGCGGTCCTTGGAGGCTGGCTCGCGACCACGACGACGGGGCTGGTCGCGGCGTCGACCTGCGCGCGGCGGCCCGGCGGTGTCACAGGGGGCGGCGCCGGCCAGGCAATTGGCGAAGTCGCCACTGATCGTAACTGAGGTTGAGGTTGTTGCCGTGGTGGCGAACGAGCTGTTGGTGACGGTGGCCGTGGCGGACGACTGGACGGAGACCCTGCCACGGGGGGCGGGTACTCCGGCCTGGCCGGCTCCGGCTGGTCCACTGGCGGCGTCGGCGTTGGCGGCGGCGTGGGTTGAGCGACTCGCGGAGTCGGACATACTGGCTGGACTGGGGGTGGTGGGGCGATGCGCGCTGCCTGTTCCACTGCGTCCTCGGCCACCGAGGTCCAGGGATCCAGGTCTTCGACGAGTTCCCACCATGACGCCCTGCTGCCCTGGGCGTTTGTCTCGTCCAGGAGCAAGGACTCGTCGTCGTTGAGCAGTAATTCGTCCCCCGAGTCACTGTCCATTCGACGAAGTTGACTGCGGCGACGAATGACCCAGCCTGAATTGTCCTGCAAATCGACAACATAAATTACTGACCCACGTCGCTCCTTGACAACCCCTTTCACCCACCCAGCGTGTTTTCCGGCCTTGTAAGCCGCGACCCATACGTTTTGCCCGACCTCAAAAGATCGAGCGTTTAGAGTTTTGGGTC